TTCCTTCTACTCGTTAGAATCTGTTGTTTCGCGTCTATGATAGGCTTACCTGGTGTTCAGAACTTCGGGTCCGCGGCAGCCCGATGAGAATCGCAGTATTCGGGTTCAGAGAGGCCGAGGTAGGCATGTTAAGGCACAGGTAGTTCAATGTGCTCGCGCACCACTGCAAACTCATTAGTCATGATGCCTGCTATCCCGTACTGCGAAGGTTCGAGTTATTTCTCGCGTTGGTACGCAATACAAGATCGCGAAGTTGGCCCAAGAGCTAGAGGTAGGTATCGCTCTTTAAGCGCCAGGCAGGGTGCAGACATCTGACAGAAATATGTACATGTCTCGTTAGCACGCATTTGCAGGCGAATACACTTGTTCGGACTACAGCGTTCAGGAAGGGATACCTCTTGGCCAGCTTCGCGAGTTTCCTCGGTAGACGCCTCGTAAGAGGTTACCTAGTAAGTGCGGGCCACGACATGCGAGTCCGTTGGACAGCGAGCTCGCAACCAGGGTCCAGAATATGATAGGCACAAAAAGACGTACAAATAAGATATTCTTCCGACGTGGTGGAACTCGACGGTATGTAGAGGTAACCAGCAGCCAAAAATCGAAGTTGTAGCTAGCCTAATCCACGAAGCTTATCGTCCTGTTCCACGGCTTCCGCGTCTGTTAGTGTGAACTTTCCTCGCAGAGACTTCTTCAAATAAACCGATATTCGCATCTCCTGCACACGACTCGAGGCTGCAACGCCGGGAAGATCCGTCAAGTGTGAAATCAAAGCTCCCATCCCGATTGGTCTACTGGTCGCGAACCTGAACAATTCGGAAGCTGTCAACGAACTTTTACGCTTCCTATTCGGGACCGAACTGCCGAGGCTTAAATGACGTTCCCCCCATTCCGAGCTTGAGAGGAGGGCCCATCCCATTGTTGGGCTACGGTAACCAATTTGATGGGGCGCCGGGTACTTGACGAGTCTGGCTGCATTCCGGTCTTTGTTTCCGATCAAGGCCCACCAAAGCGCTTCATTGTGTCTAATCGAGGTTCGGTTAGGGAATAGGTAAGGGTCTGGATAATTTGCAGCAGCTTTCTCCCAGTATTCATGACGGCAGTCTGGCTTTGGTCGTAGCTAATCTTCCAGTGTCTATTGCCCTGCTGAGCTTACATGTAGATCGAGCGTCTTCAGAGCGGAGGGTTGTGGTGACATGAGCGTGGATACAGCGGCTTCGCGGCCGATGATTAGACCTTTAATTCCTAGACAAGTCCACTCTGACAATTCTTCTATATCCTTGTCGACAACAAGCTGGATCCTTTCCGATGGGCCTCCGGCACGATAGTGTGATTGTAGTTGTCGATCTGGCAAGTGATTCCGGACCGAAAGAAGCCTGCCACCCATAAGGCGAGTCCGGAATGATTGAGCCGTGAAGCTTGCGGTGTGAAGGCTCAGGAGAGCAAGGCTGCCTTGTCCCACCCAGACTGTAAATGGTGGTCCGCTGATATATCTGACCGACACTGAGCTTGTGGTTGGGTTGAAGGTGGGGACGGATCGCTTGACAGCTAAGGCTGAGAAAGGCGTCGACTTTGTCTTGTTCATACAGGGGAAGTCTCGACGTCTCTGACTGGAGGTTCTGAAGGTACTGGAATCTTGAGAGGTACAGTTCGACCCCAACACGGCCATGGCGTGGTGTGTCTTGTCGAGTGCGTTGAAGAGATGCTGCGTGACCAGATGATTGACGACGGAAGCGACAAGCTGCCAGTCGATGTATTTCCTGCCGTACAGTATGACGGTCTCCGGGTCAGGAGCATGACCGAGGTATATGATGACTTTGGTGGCTTCCAAGTAGATGTTGCGCATCATAGGGATCTGGTGATCCTGTTCGAGATGTCGCTCTGGTTGATACAGACGAGTACTCGGGAGCGTTGATCAGGCGGAAGGGGATCAGATCGTAGCGAACAGTGTCGTTTGCTTCCTTGCGAAGCTGAATGAGCCGGAATGATCGCCCGTTGCGGGAGAGGGGAGAACTTGAGTAGTCATATTGGGGGGGCGGGATCTGGAATTGCGGCTGTCGCGATCTCGTCTTGTGAAAGGCCCATCGTGGAGTCCTGCAGACATTCTGTTAGTCCATATTTGTACCCTAGTTTTGGCCGTGGAGACGGGATTGAGACCTTTTACTTCTGCGAGGCAGGTCGCAGGCTGGGGACGCCTAGATCCAAGTGCCTAATCCTGGGTGGTGATGGCCTCCATGTTCGCAACCATGGCCTCTACCGAATGGGGGGATGTCAATTGAAAAGAAGTGTAAGCAAATAACGAGAACCAGACTTTTGGCGCGAGAAACAGAATGATGTCCATACGAGGAAGAAATCGAATAGAGGTAGTACCCGGGCCGCCGGTCTTCAACGCGGGCCTCCAGATCCTCTGGGCTGTTCTTCCCCGCTGCTTGATCCCCACCACACATTCCCAGCAACAAGTGCTAAGCTTGAAAGTTACTCATGCATACACTATCCTGCAAAAGCTACATGTAATCTCAACCACCACATCCGCGCACATCTGTTAGGGCAGGTACTTCTTACCCCTCCCACGTACTGTACCAGTAGTATGTACAGAACTAAAAGCCCTGTTCCCCCCTCCACTTCCCCTCCCACCCCGGGAAAAACGGACTCTCCTCCAGGGTCCCAACCTCCCACTCCCTCGACACCCACCCCTTCTCAACCTGCTCCTCCGCCCATTGTTCACAAGCCCTCATGGCCACCTGCCTCACATGTTCCTCACACTTATACTCCATCAACTCCCTTTTCCCCTCTCTCAACACCTTCGCCAACAACCGCGGCACGTACTTCTCCTCCCTCAGTTCCTCCAATTCCCAAAAGATCGCTTTGAAATTAAACACCACGGCTCCACTAACCGGTATCCTCCTCAACGTCTGCGCATCACACCGCAGCTTGATATCCTTTGTCGTCACCTCGTCTTCCCTGCCCTTGAAAGCTGAGCGCGTCCATTCCCCTGAAACAGAGTCAGGCGAGGTATGAAACGCTTCCCAGTCCTCTAGACCCCACGAGCAGCGGCTGACGGGGGATTCGGTCGATAACTTGCTGAACCAGCGATCCATGGAGAAAGCCATCTTGGATTCATAGTCCGGTACATGCGTATGGATGGACTTCAGCGGGGCGTCGCGGTGTTGAGAGGCGTACCAGCCTACGCTAGAACAGACGATAGCGGCGCGGAGGTAATAGAGACCGTCGGTCTCGTTGCGCATCATGATTGCGTAGTCCTCGGGGACGTTATCGAACAAGACTTGCAGGGGGTCGGTTTGTAAGAGGTGGGTGGTGGTGGAGAGGAGGTGGTTGTGGAAGAGGGTGTGGTCGGATGATAGGGAAAAATGCTGCGGGTATCGGTTGCAGAGAAAAGAAAGGACCATCTCCATTAGTTCGCGGCAGGCGTGTGAAGCGCATGGGTTCTGGAAGAAGATCTTGGAGCCGTGTTGGGCGAGTAAGGCGCGGCGGGTGGCCATGGTGGTGTGGTAAGAAGAGGTGAGCTCGACCCACCAGTCTGGATCGTATTTCATGAGGGCTTCAAGTGTCTTGTCAGTACTGATGTGGTTTAGGGGGGGTGGAAGAGAAACAGGGGAAGACTAACCCATGTGCTGATGATATCCCCAGCGAAAAGGTCGATAAGGCCGAAACTTGGCTTTGGTGATGTCCCAGGTCTCCGGAACGGGGTTCGGATCGCGGACACCGCTCAGGGCAGCATAGTCCGGGAAGCGTCCTAACTTTTTGATGTCCTGGGTTGAGAAACCGGTAGGCGTGTAGAAGCCATCCTTGTCAAAGTCGGGGATTGTGACTGTTGGCAATGCTTGGGACTTGAGCATCTCAGGTGTGATGGCTTGTACATCTGCCTTTTCAAATCCCGGGAGCGTAGCGAGGACATGTCGTCTTGAAGGAGGGAATTGTGAGAGGTACGGCAGATCTGGCTTGACTTTGTTTTTTTTATCTTTGCTGATTGAGATGCTAGCCTTTCGCTCCCTTCCTTTCCATCTGACAGTCAAGAAGCGTTGTAGCGTGAAGAGGATCAGACAGACTATGACGCCTGCCACAGATATGTGGGCGGTCGAGACACTCAGAATCTGAGTAAACAACATGGTTTCAAAGGTGTCGGACGTCTGAAGTGTTGAACTGTTCGGTGTTGCAGCAAGACGTTGAGGTCATCAGTACCTGTAGGTAAGATATATCTCGGTGACCTGGAAGATATGTCGTCCACCCCGCAATGCCGCCAAGCCATGCTGTATCAGTGTATCGCCATCAACCACTCATCAAAATCCTGAACCCTCGATGTTCAGCTGCGGCAAGTACATCATGGGGCTCTACCAGACCTATCATGTGTCGATCCGGTTCATCCCTAACCGCTATCGGTCTTTTTGTGCGACCAGTCTAGACTATGATTGGGGAACCGATCCGGGGGATGTTTGCGTGTAAGTGATGAGATACGGGTGCCGATAAGATAGCTCTGTACTGCAAAGGAGAGACGAGAATGAGGGGTTGATAGCGTTGCATGATACCCAGAGATAAGAGGACTTCTTGATCGGGTAACGAATTTGAACGCCGCGCAGATGTGAGTCGGCATTGGAAAGATATTCTCGACGTTGACAAGTTAGAATAGTAGTCGGAGTGTCTCTGGAAATCGGATCTTATCTGACAAAGGACGTTGAAAATGCCAACATGGGAGGTGCCAGAACGGGAAATTGGATAGCTCAGCACAGACTTATAGGGGCACCAGCTGGGCTCCCTTACAACAATCAGCTACGGCAGGTGCCCACACCTGCGAGTCTTCCGTAGTATAGTGGTCAGTATGTGAGCTTGTCAAGCTTGAACATCAGTTCGATTCGCTCGAGACCCGGGTTCAATTCCCGGCGGGAGAGACCTTCTTTTTTTGCCTTTTTTGTGACCGCCGCTTTATCAACATCACGCTTGTTTTTTCTCTCTCTCTTTGAATTGAAGCACCACTTCTTTTTTTTTTTTTTTCATTCCGTCCCAGTTAAATACTGTTAATTCATTCATCATTGCGAACATATCACTCAATCAACCCCCCAAACGCCTTCCCCAATTATGTTTCCAATCATGACATCCAACCAATCCCTTTCCAATTGCAGCAGTCAATCCCAGTCCTGTTTCCAAATTCCATCCGTCAGTTCAACGGCAATATCCTCAAGCCATTCGGCAGCACCATATCTTCAGGTCCCTTATCATTCACAAACGACAGGCTAATCTCCTGCAAATCCGAATCATCCACCATCACCGTGCCCTTGCCCCTCGCCTCCCGTGTGAAATGCGACGCCGCGCCTTTATCCGCCTTTTCCACAGCCCCGTAAATCAAATCCGCCACCTCTTTCCGCATCCGACAGCTCGTGAAAATCGGACTGCTCTCAATCTCCTCCAGCAACTCCCGCTTCTCGGTCCCCCTTTCAATCTCGTCAATGACGCGCTGCACGTCCTTGGCCGTGATAGTTGCGGGCGGCAAGATGCCACGACTGTTGTCGCGATGAGGCCATTGCACGTCGGCGAGCTTGTGTAGGAACAGAATGACGGCCGCCATGCCTTGAGCCAGCAGGACGGCGCGCTCGTGCGGGGAGAGGCCGAGGAAGATGCTGGGTTCGGTGGAGGAGTGCGAGAGGGAGTCGTCGACGAGGATGCGCTGGTGCATGCCAAATGTGGCTTCGAGAATGCGCACCAGGAGGTTGGGGTCCTCGAGCACGGACGAGACGTCGCGCAGGTTGAAGAGCTGGACGGCTTTGGCGTAGAAGTTGGGCATGATGTCGCGCACGTCGACGCCGTGGAGCTTGCGGGCGTGTCCGGTGTCGACGTCAAAGTAGGTGGATGCCAATTCTGCGGCGACTTTTTCGTTCCATTCCATTAGCACTTCTTTTCCTTTTTCGTTTCTTTTTTTGATTCTCCAGATTGGATTGGGGAATACTCACACTCGCTCGAAACACCCGCCGAACACCTCTGCGCAGCCGCAAACGCCCTCCTCACCTCCTTGGACTCCTTCAACCCCTCCAACGTCCTCTTCACCAACTCTCCATACCCCCCTTCCTCCACGCCCGCCAACTCCCCCCCCCACGCCGGCTCCCCTCCCCAATCTTGCTCTGACTCCCCCCCTCCACCCACCAAAACTCTCACCACCTCCCTTTTTTTCCCACCTTCTTCAACCTCCCTATCATCTAAATGCAACACATCCTTCCGATCCGAGCCCCCATACCCAAACCCAAAACTATACCCAAACCCACTATCCCTCCTCGCCTGCTCCAATACCAACCCGCTATCCACGCTCTTCAAAAGCTGTCCCCACTTCTTCCCAATCGTATCTTCAAACCGCTTATGTACCAAGTCCCGCAAAATATGCGCCACAGCCACTTTCGACATACCCTTTTCCTGCGCAGACTTGATCCATTCCATCTGCACCTGACTTACAAACTCATCATATTTGGTAAACAGCAACAATACAGGGATATGCGTGGGTACGATGCCCGATAGGTGGTCAAAGAAGTATTGCTCGACAGCCGATATCGGGCGGTCGGGGTCGGCGGACGAGACGCAGTACCAGATTGCGTGGAGGGGTGCCGTGGTATCAGAAGAGGTATGGGCCTTGATGAAGTCGGTGACGATGCGGAGGGTGGCGTAGGCGAGGATGTACGACGGGTCGTCTTCGCCTGATTCGGGAGGAGGAGAGGGAAAGAAAAAGTTGGGGGAGGAAAAGATTTCGACGCGCTTGTTTTGGCCTTGCAGGTCGAGGGGGAGGTTGATGTCGTGGGTGGCGGAGAAGGCGTCGGAGACTAGTTTCTGTGGGAAACGATAAAGAGTTAGTGATGATAATTGAGGTGGGAATGCGACAGACGAACCTTTTCAAGATCAACACCAAACACCCGCGAAAACAGCTCCTGCTTGGTTGACTCGGGGTTTCCCAAGACCAAGACCCGAAATTTGGGACATGGCGCAAGGAACTCGGATGGCGGCGTCAATTCAGCGGATTCGGTATCTTTACCTCTAGAGGTAGTTTCTTCGCCCATGGTGATTGATGTTCAATCGTCGTTGTTATGAATTGTTGCTGTCAAAGTCGGTAGCAGATATGACAGTCAATCAGGCAGTCGTGCTTGGTTACTCCAAATATCTATCCTTTTCAAAAGCATCGCGGTTCTATCCCATCTTTATTTGTTTAACAGCAAGGTAGGTAACCTTCTAGAAGCTCCCGAGTTGCGAAGATACGTACAAGGCAATGTTCCATTGGGTGGTGGTATCTTTCGTCGGGGTTGGTGGTCTGATGACGACACGCCACCGTCACGGTCACACCACGAACCACATTCTCGTCCCATGTGGGTGAGGCCATTCGACAGAGGGGAAGCCATAGGAATGATAGGGCTTGGAGGGCCGCTTTTTTACTCGTCGCGCATTGTTTTGGGATTCATCAGTGGTCTGGTCTTTTTAATCGATTTTGTATCGTTCGTTTCGTTGGGTCGCGCATCGCCAATGGGTTGTCGCGACCGACCGAGATAGATGCATGCAGTATGCAGGTTCCATTTGGCAGTCAAGAAGTGGGAGACAGCGCATCAACACCCAAAAAATGCATCAATACAAAAACTGCCAACTGCACAGCAGGTGGAGATAGAGATCTCTGTCAAGGCAATGCTGATAGGGCTGATTTCGACTGTTGTTGTTTGTCGGTGTTTATGAACTTTACCAAGACGGCATCAAGATCGACCTCGATTTCCGTCAAAGACAAATATACCGACTGCAAGTCCTTACCTACTCATCGACACGCAACTTATGACCGTGGAAATGCTCTCTTGTATGGATGACATGCTTGTAACTTTTGTACTCAACTGTACTGAAACTGAAAAGGGGGAGCATTGCTTGAATTGCTCGAATACCAATTCCAGACATCTTGGCAGTAAATTCAGGAAAGGCCTGCATTCTGAGCTACTGATTGATCAATTCATATGTCGCACCACATCATCAATTGAGTGGTTTTGTTGACTCCTGGAAATAGTAATGCATGATTCCCGGTGGCGGCGGGCGGTCCTACATCCCATTTGTTGGTTGTCTTTGTTTTCTTTTTTCCTTCCTTTTTTCTTCTAATTTTTCCCCTTTTTTTTTTTTTTTTTTGTCATTGTCGACGTCTGGAGTCTGGATCTGTATCGGTGACCGACTGCATCGCGGCGCATATGTAGAAGTACTAGTCCAACATCAGCCATCAATGTTGCAGCATTTAGATGCAGTACAACGAGAACAACAACCACAACATCAACAACAGAAAAGCATTGATGACAAAAACACAATGGACAGACCGAAAGAAGGGGAGTAGAGGGACCCAAGACAATGGACTTTTTAAGGAGACAGAGGAGATTTGTTTCATGGACCTGGAACCCCCGACCGGCTTTTCGCATCCGAAGAAAAAAAAGGCTCGAATCGAAGCTGAGAAGAAGTGGAAGCACAGACCAGGAATACAGTCGGTACAAGTCAATATCCACAGTAAGCGCTATTTTTGTAGCACTGGGAAATGGGGGGTTGCAAGGTTTCTGGTCTCTACCGGACGCTAGGCTCTCCCGACGCCGGCAGGCCGGGGGACATCTCAGGCCGCCCTGTGACTGCAGTGGATCTCTGGAGCTGGATTGGATTGGACTGGAGTTCGGTTGGAGTTCGGGCCTGGTTTTCGAATGTCCTGTCCTTGCTTGACTTTTGGTGCGTGATGACGGAGGTGAAGGGGCCGGGGGTCTTCTTCTTCTTCGAATACGAACAAACCAGAAACCTCTTCATCTCGTTCTGCTGTTCGGATCTTGGTTCTTACCCAGTTCTTTTCCCCTTTGTGTCCTGGCACCGCTTCTTTCCTTCCATCGAGCCTAGTACACTACACTACTACTGCGTACATGTACGAACGGGTATAACCGCCCAAGACATCGACTCAAGCTAGTGACCATCACGGGATGAACCAACAAAGGGGTCATCATCATCAATGAATTCACTTGACACTAGTGCACAGTCTGGACTCGCAGCAGACGCCAAGATTCAGGATCAGGCTCGTGTTTTCGATTAGACGCCAAAAAGCGAAAGGACGATCGGTGGGGTGCGCCATCAGGAGGCCACTGCCGGGCGGGCCAGTGGAGGGGCGCCATTACCTTACGGGTATGGGGTGCTATGGGGTGCTATGGGGTGCCAAGACGGCGTGGCTGTGTCAGATTCACGGACCAGACGACCCAATCAGATGGCCCATAGCCGCCCCTGAATGAATGAATCCAAGTCACTCACTGAGAACGAAGTCAACGAAGGGAACACCAACAAGATCCCCTGAGAAAGTTCACAGTCCAGATCAGTTCAGTGCCTCCTCTCTCCAGCGATGACCGATGACCTGAGAACAGGAACAACAACAACAGCAACAACAACAACAAACAGGGCCCCTTGCGTACTGGTAATTTCGGCCCATTGGCTGACCCACAGGACACTTCCCCACAGTCATGTTCCATTCTTCCAATCGAAGTGCCTTTTTGCTTCCGTGACCATTCCAGTTGCCGGTTCAGTTCAGTTTCCAGCCAAGGCCGCAGCACAGTGCCAATTGTTGTCTCCCCTGTTCTTGCGTCCTGTTCCTGCGTTTTGCCCGTCAACTGAGTGCCTGCAGTGTGATGTGTGTGAGTGGATGCATCTTCAGCTGAAGTGAAGGGATCCGGGGTCTCCTTTGTTCGTTTCTTTTTTTTCTTTCTTTTTCCCACTCCATCTTCATTTTGCATTTTTACCCTTCATTCCCCTTCCCGCACATCTTCCTTCCATCCCATCTTTTTCCTCTTCCAATCCCCAACTATCCATCCAGCATCAGACCAGTCCTTGTAGGACAGACATTCGTTATATTGCCTGGATATAATAATACGAACCGCCACTCTTTCCCCCGAATTAGAACAACAGCCCTCTCGAGCACCTTCGATTGATTATACATAACCACACACAATGCGCGCTTCCGAACTCCTCGCCGGCGCCGCCGCCCTCCTCGCTTCCGGCGTGTCCGCCGAGGCCTACCTCGGCTTCAACTCGGGTAACACGCTCCCCAGCCGCGAAGCCAAGTTCAAGAAGGACTGGGTGCAAGAGTTCACCACGGCCCAGAACCTCAAGAACTCCCCCGGCGTCTTCAACGCCGTCCGTCTCTACACCAACATCCAGGCCTACTCGCAAACCTCGGAGCCCATTGAGGCCTTTGAGGCCGCCATCGAGACCAACACCAAGATCCTGCTGGGTGTCTGGGCCTCGGGCACCAACACCATCGAGCCCGAGATCAAGGCCCTCCAGAACGGCATTGCCAAGTACGGCAAGAAGCTGACGGACCTCATCATCGGCGCCTCCATCGGTTCCGAGGACCTGTACCGTGTGTCCGTCACGGGCATCCAGAACAAGTCGGGTGTCGGCGCGGGCCCCGCCGAGCTCGTCAAGTTCATCTCCGACTGGAAGAAGGCCTTCCAGGGCACCGCCATTGCCAACGTGCCCATCGGCCATGTCGACACGTGGGACGCCTGGACCAACGGCACCAACAAGCCCGTCATCGACGCGGTCGACTGGGTCGGTGTGGACGAGTACCCCTACTACGAGAACGGCAAGGGCAACAACATTGAGAACTCTGGCTACCTCTTCGACCGCGCCTACGATGCCATTGAGGGCGCTGTCGGCGGCAAGCCCATCTGGGTCACGGAGACGGGCTGGCCCTACGTCGGCCAGACGTGGGACCAGGCTGAGGCCACCATCAAGAACCAGCAGTACTACTGGCAGGAGGTTGGCTGCCGCAAGCTGTTCGGCAAGGTCCCCACTTTCTGGTACAACCTCCGTGACTCGAACCCGGACAACGAGATGAAGTTCGCTATCACCGACAACCTCTCCACCACTCCCCACTTCGACCTCACCTGCCCCAAGACCTTCAAGACCACCCCCAAGGCTTCTTCTTCCAGCGCTTCTGCCACCTCGGCTGCCACCGGCACTGGTGTCTCGTCTCCTTCTAGCATGGAGTCTGGCTCTTCTGGCTCCGGCTCTTCGGGTTCTGGGTCGTCGGGCTCCGCTTCCTCCGGCACTGCCTCTTCTTCCGAGCCCGCTACCGTTACCGCCCCTGCTGAGAGTGCGGTCGCTACTGGCTCTGCTACCTCGGTTAAGGGCGTGTCGGCCGCTGCTGTGGCCGGCATGACCCTTCTCGTTGGTGTCTTTGCTATGCTTTAAAGAAAGAGGTGATTGATGTCAACAAATGATATAGATGGAATGTGTCAGGGAAAGTTAAAGTTGGGATTGCATATAACTGGGCTAGGTCATGTTAGTTAGGTAGACAAGAAATAGAGAAAGGCGATTGCCAAGTTGGTTATCATGTTTTGTGTATCTGTTTGTCTGGTGATGTTGGATATGCGCTTGCATCTGCTGTAGCTTGTCGTAGCTCGTAAACATCTGTAGAGACAATGAAGCAATGCAGCCATCAATCAGCAATAAAGATCCCGCCCTTGCGTTCGTGATACTTCACCCCATCAATGAACTGAACGACAAACAACGTGATTCACCTTGGAACCACTAGCTCCATTCATTGCCGGCGCCAAGTCCAGTTCAGTTGCCAACGGACCCCGGTGCTGCCGCTCTGCCGCCGCTCCGCCCGCAACAACGCAGCGCCTATCAGTCAACAAAGCGTCAGCTGCTTCCTTTCATCAGTGGCTCGCCCCCCCGTGGCTTGTCTTGTCAGTGGCTGTCCGCCAGCCAACGCTTCACACAAATGATGTTGGCGATTAGGACGATCACCTCGATCAAAATCCAATAACGAAACAAACAGTGGAGAGAGCCCAGCCTTTTGTTGTACGACGGGCAGTCAGTCAGATGTTTCGTTGCGATTTTAACCGGGCTGGGGTCCCGGTGAGGGTCGTGATCAGGTTAAATGCAAACATGGATGGCAGAGCACAGCAGGGTGAGGTGTGGTGTGATGTGCTGAAACTTGACACTCAGAGGATGGACGGGATGCGCTCCCTCGCTTGGGTGGTGAGGTTGGAAGGCGCGCTTCAGCGCACAGACCACCGGACGCGGTATTTAGTTAGGAGTCACGGTTGCAAACCGTTAGAGAGCACGTTAGACCAATCACAACCTTTGTTATCACCCCAAAAGAACCGTGAGCAGCGGTGCAGCACGCATTGCAAGGTGAGGTGGTGAGGTGGTGGCTGCAACGATCAAAAAGCACCCAACAGGGTAGGGTCTGTTAGGTGTTATGGGTTCTACTAACTGTTTGACTGTGCTTTCTGCAGATGGGATGTTAGTGGTTCAGCTCGCTGTAAACCCGACCACTGCAGCGGCGCCGGCAGCAACTCCGTCATCTAGCGTATCACCTGGGCCCGGTTACGTCATTGACCTACATCATAGGTAGCTGTAGGGTCCATCCAGTCCTCTGCCCAGGCAGGCATCCATCCATCCATCCATCTCCCGGGACCCTGCCGACACCTACCTACCTACCTACCGCCCCCGGGATTGATGATCAACAAAAACCTTTACATCAACAAGTTTGGTTCTTATGCGCTTGTCGTTTGTTGCCAAGTCCGCAAGATAAATATTGGCAATCGAGATCCTGCAAAGTTTTCTTTTTGTTTTTTCTTTCTTTTTGAACCATCTATCCCGAACCATCATCGATCGTCTTACCTTTCCCAACGCATCTATCCGTCCATTTTCGCTCGAAATCCACATCCAGAAAGAACAACAACACCAACACCACCCTAAAAATTTCCTATTTCAGACATCTCCATCCATCTATCGCATACCACACACAACACCCACCAGAGCCACGACGCTCCATACCAGCCAACCAACCAGACAGACAGAAACAAATCCCCAAAAATGTCAGCCCAACAACCAACCGAACGCCCTCAACCCCCCAAAACCGAAGGCTACCGACACGGCACCGCCGCCCCATCCTCCAATTTGAAGCCCACCATCACCATGTCCTCCATGTCCCCTCACTACACCCTCCCCACCTCCAAAGCCGGAACCCCTCTAAACTCCGCCCCCGGCACGCCCACCGCCAACCTCTCCAGCCTCTCCCTCTCAACAGCAACAGGCTACCCCCTCCCCGTCCCCCCCCGCGGCCCAATCCGCATGCTCTCCGAACACGCCGTCTCCGACACCCCGCTTACCTCGGACCCCTACGGCACTCCCTCCGCTGCCGGAGGACCACCCCAAGACTACCTCTCCTACCGCCGCCCCACCAACGCACAATCCCAACTCCCCACCACCGAACTGCGAAGTAACCTCGCTGCCACTGCCGCCACCGCAGCAATGGGCGCAAGCGGTGCCGGCGCCTGGGGCTCCTCGCGCGGAATCCTTGGTGGTTCGGGACCAGCGAATCCTCGAGAGGCAAGGGAGACGCAGTACGTTTCTGCTTCTTTGTCTGCTGCTGGGTCAAGGAATAATAGTAGTACGGCGTTGAGCGGGATGGTTTCTGGCCATACTACTGGACGGGGTCATCCACTGGCTAGAGAAAACTTGCAGAGCGAAGCCAAAACGGAAGGAGAACAGATGGCGCCGTATGGAGAAGGGGAGGTGGCGCGTGCTGTGGAGGGGCAGGCAAGGAAGAGGAATACCAAGAGACGGGAGTCGATGGCGCAGGGGAAAAAGCCGAACTTGAGTTTGGCGCAATTGGGAGAGGGACAGGGACAGGGAGAGGGAGAGAAAGAGGGAGAGGGGGAGGGAGAGAGTGATCACCATGGAAGAAGAGAAAGGATGGGGAGCGCGAGTCAGAGGGAGGCTAGTGGTGAGAGACATGGACGGGTGAGGGGGGAGGTCAGTTTGGAGCCTTCGGAGGCTGATTTGGAGAGGTAAGCTTTTTTGATTTCCCCCACTAATATATACTGGGATGGCAACAGTGCTAACGTATATGGTGTCGATACAGAAAAAAGATGCAGCAGTCTTGGAAGAGGGAAGAGATCAAGCAGGCGAGAAAAGCAGGAAAGGATGTCGACGGGACGAGCGGGTTGAGTGGAAGACAGCCTAGGCCTGAAGTATAAAGGAGGAGTGTTCATCAGAGTGTGGTTGGAGGGGTGTCGTTCTGGTGTTGAAATCTTAGACTATTAGAGTGACGTTTTAGATGTGTGTGCGTTCTTTTCTTCTTCTTTCCTTTCCTTTTTTTTTTTTTCTTCTTTTTTTTTTTTTTCTTTTTTTTCTTCCATTTTTTCTTCATTTTAGCTTGGTGTGTTTCAAATTATCGACAAAAGAGGTACACAGAAAATAGTTGTAAGATATGGTAGAAAGAGAGGATATTCATGTAACATTTTACATTCGACTACTGTACCCAACCCATCGCAACGAGACGAATGACGTGGAAACAGGCTGGTCAATGATTTGAAATGTCTTCCCGTTGCCTGTCATATCCCTTCAAATCCTCTGTCCACGGCTGCCAAGAATATTCAGATGAGCCGTCTCATAGATGTGGCAGCACCTCCAACCAGCTGGGCATAACAAAGACGCCGTATGGCATGTGTCGGAGGCTGACGAACGACTCCACGAGAAGGTAAACCCTGGTAGCGACAAATGCTACGCCTATAACCAGCATACAAAATCTCCCGAAGTATAGCCATATTATCATCAAGTGCCATCGTATTCTTGATAGAGGTATTTTGGAGCGAGTAAGCACTTGTCCGCACTCGACGCACATCGTCAACTTGCCAGGGCCTGTTGAAGATGCGAGAAGACCGTAGATATAAAATGCAGGTATGAGATTCATAATGATGATACTGCTCACGTTCCATAAGGTCCACTTGATTTGGGTCGGAAATACAGAATTCCAAGCAGCCAAGTGGATCCCGCCATTCAAAGAGCTGAAAATGATAACGCATAATCTATCGAAGCGGGTGAGTCGATCGCGGCCTTTGACGTGCATTCCGAACCAGTCCTTAGCGGTATTCCATATCATGGTTTTGTGAGTGGAATCGAACGGTTATTGTCCATCACGGTATCGCTGCCCATTGCATATCGATGATGTTCGTAGGTCGTGGTGGTCTCTCTGTCAAAATCTGGCGGGCCTTCCAGAGGTATTGAGGTCCTAATCCGAGGATCATGATAAAAGGCGGTGCGGTAAAGGCGATCAGAGTATCGACAACGCCTTTGGCTCGGAATCACCTGACAGTTCACATAAGGCTCAGGGTCTTGTATGGTCCTTTTGTCAAGCAGAGTAATGTGTTTGATGACTCTTTCCGCTCTGACTTTATCCGCCGGCGAAAAGAATATTCTGCGTCTTGCAAAGGTCATACATCTGACCGCATGTGCCCTTCGGATCGATGGTATTCCAGTGATTTTGACCGGCAAAGAAAGCATCTTGGCGTAGCTCACACCGCAAGGAAGCACGACTCCGTCCGTCTCGTCGCCATTGATGCAAAGTTCCGAAAAAGTATCTGTAGACTCGATCCAAGTGACCTTTCTCAATTTCCCTTCATAGTCGGTGAAAGGTATCAACCTCGGTAAACCGGCTGTATCAACGGGGGGCATGGTTTCGGGATCCGCTCTGACCGCGAGCAGTGACTCGTTTTCGGGTGTTCGTTGTGGGTGTAAGCATGTCATGATATTCTGTGCCTCACAGAACTGTTCTTGGACCATCAACGCAAGCGCATCCGCAAAAGCATCTGTAGGTATATGAAAGGGGTAACCTCCGCGCACACCTATAAACTCCCCATGCACACCCAAACCCAAAAAGTGGGGATGTAACAATTAATGTCACCTATTATTGTAAACCCCGATTTTAACTATAAAATTTCACACTTTCAATATTTATAACATTTCCCCGCATTAACAAGTAACACGCTACATTACACGCATTTAACAAGCGGCGCCTCCCCAAACTTTATACCCTCTTTTACACACTCTTTTACACCCTTTAATTATACACTCTTATACTACCCTTCAATTGCAATACAGCGCCTTACCCCTATAATCGCTCTCGCGTATTAATATACGCAATTAATAACCCTCTATAATAGTTACTAAATTATTTACTAAATTAATTACTAACCTTCTCAAATACAAATAATTCCCCAATCTCAATCCTAATCCTAATCTTAATCTTACTACCGTCGCAATAACTCCCCCGCTCTCTCCGTCAATTCGTATACAAATAACGCTACCTTCAATTCTATAACGTTATTTAAAAAGGATTTAAAATATATTTAGACAGTCCTATCAAACAATTTCTATTTTAATATACTACCTAATAAGGATTATAATACCCAACTCGCCGCTATCGTTGACTTCTATTAGCGTTACCGATTTAGTATTATAATTAGGTGCTTAAAGAATAGGAAGGGTAAAACTATATTCGTTATACTTTATTGTCACGGCTTGGCTGGATGGGTATTGGGAATAAGGGTACTCTGACGGACAAGCTTCTTATCTTATCTTCTTATCGATAGACGATCCGGATTGGGAAGGCGGCGACGAATGGCAGATCTGACTTATATGTCCGGATCCGAAATGCCTTCGTTCGTCTACCTTCTCTTTTCCTCCTTACACTTAATATTACTTTGATTTGTGGCTTCTAATCTTGTTGTCTTATCACTCGTAGGATCACGCTTTCACATTTATTACAATTAAACTAATTACTATCCCTATCCAAAACAATAGTCTAATAAACGCTGTATATCGTTATAAAAGGCTACAAAAGACTATCCCTTCATTATTTAAATACGTACACTAGCAAAGTAAAACGGCAAATAGTCAACATAAGGTGCCAACTTTACTTACAAAGGCTATAGTTAATTATAAGATCTATTGCGCTACATTCTACTATAGTAACGAACAATTAATTAAGAGTAATTAAATGAAACTTATAAACTCTTAATCGATAATAATCTATCAGCTACTTCTATATATAAATGAGTATAGTCCCGGTAGCGCAATATTCTTCTAACCAATAAAGACTTCGAGAATATATAGTACCAAATACAAAAGAATTATTACTATAAATTAAATAATACCTAATACTTTATTAAAGAGTTTAAGGAGGCTTAAAATATTACATATAACTCTATTAATTTCGAAGAGGAGGATAAGAATACCCCGCACTATATCTTTTAAATCTACGACCGGTAGAAAAAAATATAGAAGCAATTTCCAATTATATTAAATATTAACGCTATGTACAAAACAAACTATTACTATATACTTCTTATTTAGGACGTTATCGCTACTCCGGAAAAATTTTTAATAATAATCTTTCAAACGGTTATTAATAACAAGAATAAGGAGGGGTTCAATTTTATTATTAACCGTCTTTATACTTTTATAGTAATAAAATATATCCCCTACCCTAAAGTATTTATAATTAATAATAATATAGTATTAATCGCTACCTTTAAATAATACTTCCGCGCCTTATAATAATAGTATTACATTTAATATATTAATTATAACGTTATAAAAGCTATTAAGAAACATTAAGTCAAACCGCGCATACAATTATTTAATCCTAGTAATAATAGTAAAAATTACGAACAGTATAGTCCGCAGCTTATTAAAGCTAATTGTACTGACCTCTAAAAGATTGGAAAGGTCTATCACCGAATCTGTACAGCTATTAGAACTAAAGTTGGCCTTTCCCCTTTGCCTAATAAAATCGCTAATACTAGAGCTATACTATTCTTTATATAGCAATATATAATTTACACCTCGTCTCTAACGGATTTTAATAAGGCTTAATCCCTACTAACTTAATATTTTAATAATAATCAACAGCAGCTTATAAAATACTTTAAGGAGGAGTTTTTAACCTACCAAACCGAATAGGCAAACTATCACACATCGCAATACTTCAATTATAGCCAACGTACTACATCCCCCAACAAATCGGCTAATAATTCTATTAAAATAAATAATCTTTTAGTAAAGTATAACTTAATAAGGGTATTTATTACTTATAACTAATACACTTACTACCGCTCTAACGTATATAAATAGGCGGTTATACGAATTAAAAATAAAGTACGGTACTAATATATTAATTATAAATAATTAGGGGATTACCCACTAAAATTAACCTTCTAAGCACTAAATTTACTTAATTACTAATACCGCATTTACTTCGCCTCCATCCCTACAATAAATCTATAATCTAATTAATAATTTATAAAACTGTTACCCCCTTATATTTACTAATTTAGAGCCTAATATAGCTTACTATATATTTATAAAATAGCCGCTAAAAATAATAAGGGAGGAGTACTAGTAACCAAACAAGATTATTATCCCTTCTAATATTTATATTAAAGACGTATAAATCCCTCTATTTAGCTACCGTCTTTCTATTCATTAATACAATAATATAGGATGCCGTCAATTCCTACCTTCGCCTTTGTCCCTTTAATAAAGCTATACCCAAAGGAAGGCTAATAAAATAGAGCAATCCCTTCGGTAACAAATAAGTAGTCCCTAAACTACGTAGTAAAACTAATACTTATAGCAGTTCTTTATTAGTAATAGTATAGCGTAACTATTTAAAGTACAAAATTAAACCTAATTTTAAAGCATTAAATACGGCTAACAGGCAAAAGGAGAAGGGGGAGGCGGGCAGCTATATTAAAATAGTATTATTATTTAATTTAGAAGTACCCTCTAAATCCGACCTAACTACTAATAGTACTAACGAAAATAAAATAGCCAATAATAGCCGCAAGCGCCGCTGCTGCAATAATAATCTATTTCACAACTCTACCCTCAGCTCTGCCCATCTCTTACAATTTAACGATAACGAGGAGGTTAGGGATAATAATAAGCTAGTAATTAAGAAGGAGAGGACTAAACTCAATAAAGCTTACAATGCCTAATCAGCGCGGGAGATAGAGAAATTGCTAGCTATACCTTAAAACAAAGCACTACTTTATAAATAGCCTAACCTATATAACCCTAACCCTCGTAAAGTCTAGCCGGCCGCCAATAAAAACAATACTATAGTATTGAGTAATAGCGAGTAGTAACATCCTCCTTTATTTACTTTACAGTAATATACACGTTTTAGGAGCCTTATCCTTCTTAATCCGGTATTCTGAAGTGCTTGTTGAGTATAGCGGTCTTTACAGCGGTTATTATAGCAATCACAGCAATGTGGGGACCCTTGTCAGATGTCAGAAACATTGAGAAACCCGTTTTTTACACTAAATACGGCCTGTTTTATATGATAGCCGTCATCTAGGTTTGGGTGTGCATAGGGAGTTTATAGGTGTGCACGGAGGTTTCCCCATTGAAAACGTGAAAGCTGACCTGAAGCTCCCTAGCGATGCAATTCGATCCCGACGCGCCGTATTGGAAGACGAAGCCTCCTGGTATCAAGGAAGACAGACCCATTAACCGGGAAGTACACAAGCCAGGATACTGCTTCCCCTGTTGTCAAAAGTATGGAACGCACGACAAGCTCGGGTGCAGGCTAGGCCCACATAGGGCCGCTGATGGAGTGCGGGAGAAAGACCTCAATAGCTGGAAAAGCTACGAGGATTTCCAAGAGGCTATGGGTGCACCAAGGAGGGAGGACATGCCGTCATGGGAGGCTCATTGCATTGCTCTTCGAAGGCAAGCCTCCATGGCAGTAGAGTCTGATTCCGATGCGGAGGAATCAGACTCTACTTCAGAATCAGATACAGAGGAGTTGTACTCCACTCCAGCCACGGAACAGTCGGACAGGTCTACTCCAGCTGCGCCGTCTACGGAGGAACTAGCCGCCTTGAAAACCACACAGAGCACAGAGGTCGCCAATACCAATGGGGAAGATGATTATGAAGAGGAGGGACCCAGCTGGGTCGATGAGTGTGACCAAGCTGGCCAGGACTTTCCTGACATTACAGAATTACCTCGAAAAAAAAGACGTGCCTTGTTGAGGGCTCAAGAGATCGCTTTGCGGGAGGCCTTCGCTACCAGAGAGGCCTACGGATCCCATTGTAGACCTCATCTGAATCGCCAGACCTTGACGGTGGAAGTACGCACGATGGTATCGTATACCAGTGGTCCGGGCTCAAACAGTCTCAAACGGAAGCGAGAAGAAAGCCCGGGAACAGAGCGAAGACAGAGAAAAAGACTGATTGAGGACAGGCATGATTGAGCAAGGGAAATAGTGACTCCCCTCCAAAACGGGTAATCAGTTTTCCAAAGCGATAATTTGGAGAAAAGCAAGACAGCTTCAGTTGGCGCAGTGGGTTTTAGGCGTGAGGTCACACCGACTGCACAAGGAGGCGAATGTTTTGTTTTGTTATTTACAAGGAAGGAATGACTTCCCCAGAACCAGGGATTACCACAATTTCTCATCAACTCTCCCGTCCTCAGAACCGCACCTTCCCTTTGTGACTCGTTTTCGCGCAGGGCAGTGTGCCCTAGTGTGCACTTTACTGCGGTTTTTGTTCCTTTGCACTCCTCCTTTCTGACATTCATGATCTCCATTTCCCTTCGTTGGTCACCCGTGACAGCAGAAAGACGCCACGCAATCAATATTGGCTGGCTGAATCATAAACTCTTTGATCACTCATTTCTTTGTCCAAGGCGCAATTGTTCAAGATGCCCGAGAAGAGACCCGCCTCCCATACGCGCTCGCCCGTCGCCAAACGGAAGCGTACTGCCAAAGCGACGTCCACTGCTCACAATACCGCCGATCCCAAGGCTACTGCTTCCAAGACTGCCTCCTCTAGAACCACCGCTGTTCTCGACAATGGCGCTGCGGGAAGCCCTCTTCCTTCCGGACCACCCCGCACAGATCGAAGCACTCCCGGAAGCGTGGCAAGATCCGTCAAAGCCAACCAACCGGCCCCAAGTTCCCAAACCAACGATCACCCGACAATGACGGACAAGCGGAAGCGTGAAGAGACCCCTGAGGAAAGCTCCAAGAGGCCGAAAGCTTCAGACAAGATGCCGGAACCAAAATCAAGCGAGGATAACGATGCGGAGGAACCCAAGAAGCAACAGGAGCTGGAGATCTGCCCGATGTGTGGCGAGGAGTACGACTCAGAAGATGAAGACGACGACATCTGCGAGTTCCATCCCGGTAAGTTGGCCTCCGCTTAGTACCTCTCCTCTGGACCATATACTCTACTATCCAAGCTGTGTTCGGACACTAACATCTCTTATGACGTTGCCGTTTGTAGGAAAGCTGGTAATCGACCGAAAGGTACCTTGCTGGAAATCAGATTGGTGCGTGGATCCCTACAACGACGAGTATGTTGAAGAGTTTTTCGAATCTTATGAGTTATACCCGGACATGCTTATATGGGACTGCTGCGGATGTTCGGAAGGTGCACCAGGTTGCGAAACACAAAGTGGGCACGGGAAATACTGAGCTTGAACTGTCAAACCAGATGAAAAGGCGACTCGGAGAGCAGGACATGGGCTTGATCCTGTATTCGGATCGTAGGTTACGCAACGGAAACAAAGGCACCCAATAATACCAGAATAGAGTACTAGTGAATGACAAGTCAAGTGAAGGGGCTCCAGGCAGGATAGGGCACGGTCCACGGACATCGAACAGAATGGAATTTGTCTCTCAATCCGTACCCTGAATTCCCTGCGCAAACACCAAGCAAATCTTCATCTGGTTCACAATTTCATTGATCCCCTTCCACACCCCACCACCAGCCCCAGCAATCAAGCGCCCAAAATGGCGAACGAACAAAGCATGCCTCTTCCACTAGTGGACGAGCGCAACAGGAAAATGCTTGATGCGATCCACAACGCTCCTTGCATGAGCCTCCAAATCGTACTGTTCTCTCTCTACGCCGAGGGTGATGACAATCTGAAGACGCGCATCGAGGATCTAGTCCACGACTACACTCTCACCCTTCACAACTTGGACGCCGGAATCGCAACACCTGCCAGCGAGCTGAGAACGGAGCCAGCCACAGAAGTTCCACTTGCGACCGAGGAACCAGTTGATAACACAATCTATTGTCCTGTTTGCGATGATTACTTTGATCCGGACGACGAGGACGACCTGTGTTTCCATCATCCTGGTATATTCCCCCCGTCTACTGACTACCTACTCTGAGCAAGTGCTGACTCGTGGCGTCGGTCGTTGACTGGAACAGGCAAGAGGATCGCCATCCCCGGCTTTGACAGCGTGGCGTACGAAAAGGAGGTTAGTCCTGAGGCGTACCAAATCAAGGTAGAGGAAGGCTTGGACACGGAGGAGAACCGCTTGGTGCCGCTTTGGGCAAGCACCTGGGACTGTTGTGGAGGGGTAGGTGCTTCGAGGGGGTGTGTTCAGGGTGTCCATGTGGAGTACGTGGAGGGTATGGAGGATTGGGACGACAGTGATAGTAGCTCTAGTGACGAGAGCGATTCGGACTGAGCTGGATAAAACATTGGGCGAGTTGAGAGGCCATGGAGGAGAGTCACGCTAAAAGGGAGCTATTAAGGAAGGTACATCACGGAAGGTAAAGCTCGAATCTTGCGGCGAGGGAAATCGGCAATAGTAGCCAAGGCAATGTGTGCAGGGATAAACGGAAAGTACCTCTAGCTCGGACAATGTTCGTTTGGCTCAGGGCTACTACGATTCAGACGCAAGGCACGTTTGTCAAGAGGACAGGTTGGATTCAGACCGTGGCCTCTTTCTTTTTCTCCCGATTCTGCTGCTTGCGCATTCCGCTAGCAACACCTTTCTCTCGCTTCTCACAAGGCAGTTTAAGTTGCACCAGTTCGCTCCCTTTTTTTTATCCTCTTGTCTTTTCTCCAGGGAACACCGAAAACCTTGTTCCCGACAACGACAGTCAACTCCAACGCCAGTTGTTCAGTCTCCGCCCTTCTGCATTCATTGAACCTGAATCCACCACATCCTGTCACTCCTCAAGTCTCAAAGCTCAAGATGGTCGACGAAACTACCAAAGAGGTTCTTGAATGTTTCCCGTCCGTTACAAACTATGAGCGGTTCCAAAAGACCATGGATGCAATCCATTCTCGCTCCAAGGTGGTTCTTCGCAGGGTTCTCTTCGACTTATTTGTGTCGGACATCAGTGACCCTGAGACCCTGCAGTCGCGCATCCACGAGCTTGTCGCCGAGCGCTACGAGTACATGTATGCAGAGTCTAACGAAAACCCACTGCCTACCAAGAGAAAGAGCGAGGAGTCTCCGAAAAAGAAGAAGAGAAGGGGCAAGAAACGAAGAAAGACCGCGACATACATATCGGAAGGGCCGGATGAGTGCACCCGTTGTGAAGAGGAGTTTGGACCCGAAGACGAGTCGAAGGGTTGCTTTCGCCATCCAGGTGAGTACCTCTAGAACAGGACAACCTATTCCGTCATGTCCTATAGTTTTTGAGTGGTTTCCAGAGGCTGAGATACTTTTGCTGACTACCTACCTACCTTTGTTGGAACCAGGCATTATGCAGCTCAACCGTGCGTCCTACTCCTGGTGGACCGAGGAGCATATAGAAACCTCTGAGTATACGTCGAAAGAGCTAAATGCTCCACATCATCGCGAAGAGAACCCAGACGGGTTCACCTGGAGTTGTTGTGGTCTGCCTGGTGGTCGACGGGGTTGCAAACGGTGTCCACACAAGGCTTATGAGGGCGATACCGACTACAGTGGAGACAGTGAAGATAGTGATGAGGTTGACGACGACAGTGGCAGTAGCGATGAAGGTAATGAGAGTGATAGTGGCCAGGATGATGATGATGACGAGGATGATTGATGGGACACTTGAAAGCAAGACTGAATTGAAGCTTCACAGAGAAAGATGATGGATGTCTGTTCAATACCTCTAGGTGCTTGGGCCTTGGGTTGCAACTTAAGTTTGAATCCACTCAAACTTGGACTTCGTGGGTTCAGCAAGCCAACCAATCGATTGTCAATCAATCAATTTGCACTCCATTTGGGTTCCTCTGTTCCAAGTTGTCATAGCCGGTAATGGCCCGGAGATTCGGTGGTCAATTGATATGGCCCGTGCATCACTCCACTGAAGCCACTGTGATGCCAAGATGACTGACAGCAGTGGTGTGTTGCTTGCAGGAAGAAACGACGCTAGCTCGGTAACCTGTAGCGCGCGATGGAGCTGCTAGAGGTACCGCAGTGCCGACTCGGTCGATTCCTCCTTCTCTCTAGTATTTTTGTTTTGTTTTTAATTTTCCCGTCTTGTTTTGTCCCCTTGCGCTTTTTCCATCCTTCCCTCTTGAAGTTCCCCTTCAGCCTCGCTCACTGGTTGCCTGATCGGAAACAAGCAAGGGTTTCCTTGTGTTTCCGGTAAGTGACTCGATCGGCCAATCTAGAATCTGACAAGATGTGCATCGGGCTGGGGATGGCTCGAGTGTCGTCGGTAAGCGAATACGACACGTGCCCCCTGGAGTGTGCACTATTAGAATCCTGAGGCAGCCCGCTAACGAAAAGAGGATTGAAGCACGTGAATGATACGAGGTGTGTATTCTCTAGAGGTAGATGTACGGGTATTCGAATATGATGATGAAAATAAAGGGATTGAGAATGGAGGAAATGCGAGAACCCAAAGGCAGGTACACAGAGTACTGCGGTTGCGAGCCAAAGTTTTACCTCCCTGTCAGGTATCTCACACAGACCACCAAAGCCAGAGCTTCGTGGGCACTGTGTGTCCAACGACCTGATCCACGGGTTTAACTTACCCATCTCACCATAGTAAAACACGTGCATTCAGCGGTTGCCGGTGGCCCGCACCAGGCGCATCCATGCTTGCCATGTTACACTAAACTATAGCGCTGGCCAGGGCGGGGCCTACTAAGGTAAGAAGCCGTAACAGACCTGTGGACCCGAGGCAGTGCTACCCGACAGGTACAAGTGCGCCATCATTCCCACCGCCAAGAGAAAATGAGCGTCCTCCGCCCCCGTCCCACGACTGAACATCCCATTTTTCTTGGCTTTTCTTTTTTCAGGTTTCTATATCACGTCAATCGGGCAGCCTGACTATTAGTAACCCCGCGCGCCTGACAAATCGATATCATCATTTTCAAAAAGTATAACTGGCATCGCTCGACAATGCGCGGCACCCAACCACACGTTTTGCGACTTTTTGTTGCGATCCTAGCAGCAGTCGGCCTGATCCTCTTCTTCGACCCCCTCAACTTGGGACTCGCATCATCGTCAGCCATCGGCAACTTTTATCCCACAGATAATCGAGCAGGCGGGTGGTTCATGTCTTCCACAATTACCCATATCGTGTTGTTCAAGTTCAAGCCCGATGCTGGCGCCGATCGGATCAAGACGGTACGTGTTGGAACCTTCAACCATCCATCCCCAATCACACACCACACACTGTGTAGACTTGGGACGTTCTGCGCAACGCTGACAGCGCCCGACTACGACAGATATCCAACCGGTTCCTCGGGCTCAAAGAACAATGCGTCACCATGACACAGCAGCCGTACATCCGCAAGATATCCGGTGGCAGGGATAACTCTCCAGAAGGATTGCAGGTGAGTAGTAAACAAGCGGAAGAATCCTGACTCCAACCTCTCGGCAACGAGCTGACCCAGATGGTGGTCCAGGGCGGCCTTACCCATGCGTTCGTTGTCGAGTTTGAGTCCGCCGCCGAAAGAGATTACTACGTCAACTTGGATCCCGTCCATCAATCGTTCAAGAAGGATATCGAGCCTTTTGTGGAAAAGGTTACGGTGGTGGACTTTACCAATGGTGCTTTCTGAGCTTGAGGCGGCGCATATATCCTTGGAAAATATCTAATCACCATGATATCCAAACACGTACTACTTCAAGTATCCGCTTTGACTTGGCGATTGTATTGTATTCTCCCACGTGCTACGACCCATGCTAACCCCTGATAGCCGCCTCAAAGATCTCCATAAACTTCCACACATCCTCGAACCGACAGTACATTGGCACCGGCGCCACGCGAATGACGTTTGGTTTCCTCTTGTCGCACACCACACCGTGTGCCTCCAGCGCCGCCGCCACCGTATCCATCAACCCATCCCTCAACAACAAGCTCAACTGTGTTCCTCTCTGCAACGGATCCCTGGGCGTAATGATCTTGAAGGCCGGCTCCTCGCCCTCTGGCTGTCTCCTGACAATCTCATCCAACAAATGCTCCGTATACGCCGTCAACACCAGCGCCTTACTCCTCAACTCCTTCATGCTCGTCTTGTTGAACACCGACAAGGCAGCCGCCAAGCTCGTCAAGTCAATGGCACTCGGGTTGCTGACCTGGAAGCCCTGCGCACCAGGCGTGGGCTGGAACTCCTTGTCCATGTTGAACCGCACGCTCTTATCGGCACCATACCACCCGCTCAACCTTGGCTTGAACACCGGCTTGCCCGAGCTCATGTCCACCTTGCCGTGGCGTTCGTGTACAAAAGCGCCAGCCATGGAGCCAGGACCACCGTTCAGGTACTTGTACGTGCACCACACGGCAAAGTCCACGTTCCAGTCATGCAGCTGGAGCTCGACGTTACCCGCGCAGTGCGCCAAGTCCCAGCCGACAACGATGCCGCGCTCCTGAGCGTACTGGGTGATGCGGGGGATGTCGAAGAGTTGGCCGGTGTAGTACTGGATACCCGGCAGGAGCAGCAGGGCAGCATCCTCGGCGTGTTCATCGATGGTAGCCAAGATCTTTTCCGGTGACAAGTAAAGGTTTTCGTCAGGCTGCATCTCCACCATGCTTTTCTCGGGATCCAAACCGTGCCACTCGATTTGCGACTGGAAGGCGTACCAGTCACTGGGGAAGGGACGCCACTCAAGGATGATCTTGTGTCGCTTGTCGGTGGGGCGGTAGAAGGAGGCCAGCATGAAGTGCAGGTTGACGGTCAGGGTGTTCATGATGACGACTTCGGAAGGGTCCGCGGCGCCAACAATGGCGGCCGACTTGGCGGCGCAGTCGGCGGCCATGTCTTGCCAGGGGGTGAGGGGCGAGTTGGAAAGTGAGGAGAAGTGGCCGTTGACGCCGATGGAGGCCCAGGTCTCGAGTTGCGCTTCGAGGTAGCGGCGGACGGCCTTGGGTTGGGCGCCGAGGGAGTTGCCGACGAAGTAAATGCAAGGGGTGTCGGCGTCGGTAGTGGTGCCGTTTGTTTGGATACCTGGGTGGTGTTAGTTGTGGTGCTGTGAAGCGTGGGTGAGGGTGAGGGGTACCTACCGGGAATGATCCCGTCAAGAGCCTTCTTCTTCAGCGAAGCGCGAGTGGGAATGATGAACTCATCTCTGAAATGACTGAGCTGATCCTGGGCGTCGAGACTCTGAGCGTATTCGAGTGTGTTGGCGTTTGGAGGAAATTCAGGCTTTTGGCCGTCCCGGAGGACTTTTACTTTTGACGCGAAGTCGTTCATTGTGATTTGTGTCCGTTGGGGTTGGAGGCAAAGTGGATCTGACAAGGAGAGAAAAAAGGGGGTTTGTTTACTTTGGGTGGATCTCGAATGAGCGGGTCCCGTCCAGTTGGGTCCGGGTTCCTGGTGGAAAAAGAAAGGTGCGTCAAGAAAGATGCAGATGAACAAACGACCAACAGTGAGACCACAATGAATGGTGCAATACTTGATGTTCCTGACGATCCGGTCTGGTGGTTTTGTAGTTGGAATCTGGCCATTGGTCTTCACCGGCATGCTCCAAATTCTTCTCATTGCTTTTGCGTGGAAAAGATTCTTTGCGAGATCGGAAACGGAAGCGGAAGGTCGGGAGTCGGGACTTTGAAATGTGGGGCATTTTATCTTCCGTCTTCCGTCTTGCGTATTCCGCTTTCCGCATCCGTGTGGCCGTCCACCGCTTGCAACACACAGATACAGATGGATGAGTATGACCGATCGAATGACCGACAAAGGCCGCCAATTCGCGAATTATAATTCAATTCCGCCTTTACCGCTGATATCCGATGACAAGTATTAGGTAATTGTTAACTTGCAACCTTCAAACCGCGAACAAATGACCAACGACAATCGACGGATGGTGAACGATGATTCCCTACCTGTGCTTGGAGTACAGTAAGGTACGCATTCGTCCAACGGTTTCTGTTTCAGCGCAGCGGTGCCGAGGATTGCCTTACCGTTAGACTTTCCCTAGGTAGGTAGACAAAAGTCATGAGGAGAGGGAGAGTTCCACCCATGTACACAGTACTGGTAGGTAGTCCATGGAAGGTGGAAAATTCGGTGAAGGTACAAGAGGTCGGGCCAAGTGATCTTCCATCTTTGTATTGCACCAACGTCATTGATCTTGTCATCTTCCATCCGTAGAGGTATCTTCCGGGATACAAATATGCTCGATTACTCCACTCATCAATCAACAATCAACCCGACATGTGGAGTGCGGAACGGAAAGACGGACAACGGAAGGTTTTGAACGTCTCGGAACCTTCAGTCAGTACCTACCTACCTTGATGGTCACAATGAAACGAAACAGTCTGCTATGGAGCATGGCTAGGTTACCATGAACTGAACAGAACCGACATGCATCAAAATCGTCCGTCCGAAGAACGCAGTGCATTGATGGGATCATTCACGGAGTCACGGTGGATGGATGATACCTGGGGAAAAAAAGAAAAACGAAAAAAGTGAGCGTGATTTGACTTTGCGTTCAGATAAATTGACAATCCTTGAACCCAGACCGTGATCGGCCGCCGTTGGATCTACCTACACTAGGTATAGATATCCCCGACTGTCTTACCTTCTACCTTCTACCTTCCGACTTTTCTTCTTCTTCTTCTTCTTCCTTGTTTCCTTGCTACCTAGGTAGGTACCTACTTCTACTGCGACTAGGTACCATAGGAATTGGACTCGACTCGGCTTGGTCTCAGCAGCAAGTTCTCCATACCAGATTCTCTTTCGTCAAAAGGTCAAAACCCACCGCATCATCAGACATTCAATTCACAACAACAACAACAACAACAACAACAACAACAACAACAACAACAACAACAACAACAACAACAACAACAACAACAATGTCGCCCTTTGAACACCTCCCTACATCTGCTACTGGTACTGCCTCCAAGCAGCAAGCCTCCTCCACCGAGTCCAACGAATCTGACTCCTCTTTTCCCGATCACATCCAGTCACTGTTGACCAAGTACGACGTTACGACCAACGGGTTTCTCCCGGAGGGACCACCGCTTGAGGTACTGCCGGACGAGTACTATGCCCCATGGGAAGACCTCATCAGACGGTTGCCAGAGACGCTGGATGCTGGCACGTTTCGAGCGGAGGTTGATCGCTTGCCGGTTTTGCAAACGGAACGACTGATGAAAGAAGAAGAATGGAGGAGGGCGTATGTCGTGTTGTGTTTCTTTGCGCATGGGTATATTTGGGGAGGTAGTAGACCGTCCGAGGTGAGTTCTTCGTTTATGGCGGCCTAGAGCCGAAGATGAAGATGAGATTGTACTGACAAAACTAACAGATCCTCCCCGCGCCAATTTCCGTTCCCCTTTTGTCTGTCTCCTCCTATCTCGACTTGCCGCCTATAGCGACGTACGCATCTCTCAACCTATGGAACTTTCGTTGTGTTCCTCCCCCGTCATCCTCGTTTCCTCCTTCTCCTCCAGCAAGACCCGCCTCCTCTTCTTCCTCTTCTCCATCTCTCACCACATGCAGCGCCGCCAAATCACCCAAGGTATTCGACCCAACAGACCTCTCCCGCTTACAAACCCTGCACACCTTCACCGGCACCTCCTCCGAGTCCTGGTTCTACCTCGTCTCCGTAGCAATGGAAGCCCAAGGAGCATACATCATCCCCATCATGCTTCGTGCATTGCAAGCCATCGGTCTACGTTCCGAGACATGGAAGGAGTCGACGACCAAGGCGCTAAGGGAGTTGGTACACTGCGTGCAAGCTGTGGGGGAGCTGTTGGAACGGATGTATGAGGGGTGTGAGAGTATGGTGTTTTATCATCGGATTAGACCTTATTTGGCGGGGAGTAAGGGGATGAATAGTACCTCTATGGGGCTGGGGAGGGGGGTGTTTTATGATTTGGGTGCTGCTTCTAAGGGGGAAAATGGAGAAGTGGTGCAAGGACAAAAGAGAAAAGGAAAGTGGATGGCATACAGAGGCGGGTCGAATGGGCAATCGTCGCTTATCCAGTTTTGGGATCTGGTGTTGGGGGTGGAACATGTGAGTGCTGGACACTCTTCTCCTCACGGGCATGTCTCCAGTTCCGCCTCCGGCACTACCACCACCAACATGAAAGAAAAAGAGAAACCCTTCCATGAGGAAGTAAGGGAGTACATGCCGCTTAAACACCGACAGTTTCTCTCACTCGTCGGCAAGATGGGATTGGGAAAAGGGGGGATCAGAAAGGCAGTCATGGAAATGGTGGAAGCCGCAGAGCACGAGGGGAGGGACTTGCACGAAAAGGAGAGGGAGTTGCAGGGTGCTTTCACTGATGCGACCAGGGCGTTGGCGGGGTTCAGAAATAAACATTTGCAGATTGTCGCGAGGTATATAGTCATTCCGTCGAGGCAGGAGGTGCCGGAGGAGATGAAGAGGCCGGGGGTATCTTTGGGGGATGGAGAAGTTGGAGGGAACGAGGGGCAGGTGGTGAATTTGGCGACTGCTAGTTCGGGGTTGTCGCAGGGGAATGATGACAAGAAGAAGAAAGGACGGGAACTGACGGGTACCGGAGGAACAGCGTTGTTGCCGTTTTTGAAGCAGACGAGGGATGAGACGTTGAAGGCGGGGGAGGTTGGCAAATGAATTAGAGTGCAGGGAGGGAAAGCACGATGGGATAGCGGATGACAACCGAATGATGCATGGATCGAGGTGGATGTTTGTAATTCTTTGGCGCTTCGGATCCGGAATAAAGGCAAGAATAAAGGAGTTGGGATGCTGGAACCAAAACATGTGGAAGACGATGAGACGGGAGATAGCTCCACCAAAATCAAGAAATGCCAAGACACGGTAATAGCTTCAAGTTCCGCAAAGCTACCTAGTCAACCTGCTATGCACCAAGAACTTAGGTAATGCTTCGTCAGGGTCCGGTAGCCAGTGTTGCTGTACGAGATTGTCAACGGTTGCTCTTAAGAGCCAGTCCAACAGTCATCATCAACAACCACATAATCGCCTCAATGGTCTAGTGGTATGATTCGCGCTTCGGGATATCCCTTGCTTGATGACAAGCGACACCAATGTGCGAGGTCCTGGGTTCGAATCCCAGTTGAGGCCTTTTGTTTTTTGTTTTTTTTTTGGTCGGGCTTGGGCTCATTTGCTGGAGATAGGAATTGGCTGACTAGCTACATGGAAGCTGTACGCCAGATGAGTCAGGTGGGCTGATCTGCGTTGACTTCCGCGTCCGCACCGCAAGCAGCGGGGTTCGATGCTTCTTCTGTCTATTTCTTGGTGATCGGACTGCAGACTGCATCAGTTGTCGCTGCCTGCCAGGATTCTGGGGCAGTTGCCGCCCATCTGCGTTGCGTGGGGTATGTCTTCCGTTTCTGCGAGGCATTTTTCTTGTCTTCCTTTCCTCTGCTTTCCAACCCGTACTGACTGGTCTTCCCACTGACCGCTCTGTTAACCTCTACTTTTGTTGCAAATGTTCGCCTGTACTTATCAGACTCGCCGACCTATCAACCCCTCAACGTTGGCTTACGACTGTCATCTTCCAATTTCCTCTTCGGCTTGTACGGCAATGCTTCCTCGAACGCCGGGATGAGGATTGCATAGGTATGAATCAATCGTGGATTCTGTTCCCTGGAGAGACGCCCACAATTTCTGTATTAACTCCGACAGTCCGATTTGATTGAAAATGAACATTGCTAACTTTACTCCAGTCGCCAAGGCCACTTCCGCCACCATAGAGTAGCCGTACCATCCATTGGCACCAAGCCGCCTTTGTCCCCGCTCGCTCAAATCAGAAAGGAATATCTAAAATAGTGTGCAGTTCACTCAACGAATCATGCACCCCGTCTTTCAGTTTGTTATCCTCGTCGTCGGAACCTTCATCCCCATTTCCCTGCAGTTCCGTCCGCAACATAGCTAGCACGTGTCGAGCTCCCAGGGGCTTCCCTTCGGAGTTTGCGTAGGCAACCGCAGTCCTCAGAATATTCTTGATCGTCCGACCCTGCGATATCAAGCCGTTAATGAATGTTCATTCACTGCTGGTCAAAGAAAAGAATCAATTGCGGCCTTGTCGGACAAAGGGTGGACATAACACTCACATTCAGGTTCAATTTTCCAAGAGCAGTGTAAACAGCCTTGGTCCATGACGCGTCGGTCTCCACAGACTTATTTGTGCTGATCAGGCTCTCCCAAATTTGAGACTTTGCCTCGGAACTCAGCTTGGGATACGATATGGTGACGTGGATACGGGACTTGAAGGCATCGTCAAAGTCTTGCTTCCTGTTGGTTGTGAGGAATAGCACGCCTTGAAAGTACTCTAGCATTCTCAGGAAGACTTGTGAATGGAGAACCGAGTGTCGTTAGCATGGTTTTTGGTTTGATCAGTCCACAATTTGGAATATGTTGATTGGGGGTTACTTGACCTACCGGCAACAACAGCATTTCGTTGCATTTCAGCCGAGCTCCTCTTGCATAAGAGAACATCTGCCTCATCGAGCAGTGTTACAGCGCCCCATCTTTTTACTCTTTCGAAAATTTCCTGCAGTTTCTTTTCGACTGCAGAGACTTCGGTCCCCAGTTCACCCCCTGAGATAGCGTAAAGAGGCCGCTCAAGGTAATCTGCCACGCTTTCTAGTGTATTGAGGTATTTTCTGTTAGTTTGGTACCGTCGATGCCTGGGACGTAGGGATCGATAAAGGAGAACGTACCCGCTGTCAATGTTTTGCCTAGTCCAGGTTTACTGCAGGTCAAGCAAGGCATGTGTAAGTTCATGAGAAGCTCTCAAGAGATCGGACTGGTGTACGTACCCATGAAGAAGGAAGATCAATCCTTGGCCTTTTCCCTCAATGATGTCGTCGAAGACAACTTTCTTGTCCTTGTGTCCTTTCACCAGACCTTGTATCAAGTTCTTCGTAAGCTGGTCGAGTTGGAGAGACCGGAAGGCTGTCATGTTCCACTTCACGTCTTGCAATTTGTCAGCGAGAGCCCAGCGCCAGCTTTTGCTTTTAAGACCAAAAACTGGAACCAAGGCCGGGAAAAGCAGCTCAACATCAGACTTTTCGACTTTGAACTTCTTTGCAGCGGCCTCGACCACGCCGTTGATTGTCCCAAAATTTGCCTTTTCACGCTTTGGTTGTTCGTCGCCCGCTGTCTCTACCTCAAAACTTGACCTTGCTTGAGCTGGGAATGCCGCCAGATCCACCGCATGTTCCTGTTTTAGAGCAGTGTCAAGAAATTCCAAATCTGAGGAATCCAAGGAACTGTCCGAATCCGAAGAACTGTCATCATCCTTTCGGGAAGGTTTGATGTCTTTTGGTTCAATCCCCCAATCTCGCGCAAAGCCCCTTGGCATTGGGTTCGAAATTTGCTTCTTGAACCTCGAGCTTTCGGTAGAGATAGAGGTGCTTTTAAGGTCCTCCAAGGTAATATTTCGGTACGAGGAAATTGCCTTAAAGTCCATTATAAAGCGTTCATCGACTTGCGTAGCGCTCAACATAAGATTCTCTTGATCATGATGTTTCCCAGAAGGATGTGCAGACTTTCGATCCCAGGAAGGGCCACTGTAACTCTGACACCTGAAAGATGAAAAGTCAACGCCCAGTGCCTCCGTAAGCTGCTTTGATCTTGTCAGCAAGGTGCCTCGCAGCTTTTGCCAGTCGGCGTAATTCTGAATGGGGATGAGAGATAGGTTCGAGATCTTCTGCGGCCGAATCCCGATTACTGGAGTGCGAAAAGACTGGCGTGCAAGGCCTGGGGAACTGCCGTCATAATCGAGCCTCAAACCAACTACCACCCAGAAGGTCATTCCCATTTCATTCGTTTCGGTGACGACGTCGCGAATAAGCCAACACTCCTTGAATACACCGTTGTCAAGGACAGCCAAGCTGTTTGGTGGATAGATTGTCCATAGTATGTCGTTGAGAACATGGCCTTCCTTTGAGTACCTCTCATGATCTTGGATGATACTTTCCACGACCCCATCAGGCCGATGCACGAACTCGTCCAGTGCTCTGGCAGCCCGTCGAAGATCTGGGTCGCTTGTGGTCTCGGCAAGTGCCCGTATTTCGGTACGGTAGAAGAAAAGCTCTATAAAAGGACCTGGCAGCTTGATGGGATGTGACGTGAGATCCGTACTCGCATAGCGCCTAGCAGCAATCCGTCGAAATGCGGAACAGAGAGGCTTTGAGTGAATCTCGAGCTCAATGCGGACCAGAAGTGACACCCCATGGTGTTCCATCCACGTACGACGCAGGACAACGGCGTGGTCTTCGTACTTGTAGTCCCTCTTCTTTCTCTTTGACAGGCTGTTTTGAGGTATGAACCGTGATGTTGGGTGAATGGTGACCTCTCTGCCCCCAAGGCCCGGCTTATGGTATTCCACAATGTCCACAAACCCTTTCGTTGGGTGTTGCCTTTTCTCCTGCTGTTGCTTCATCTCCTGCTTCTTGTTCCGAGGTGTTAGCAATTCTTTCCACTAAAAGCAGTTACACCAGATTCTTGCTTAGGTAGAGATAAGGTAACTGTTAACCATACCGTTGTGTCCGTAGAGGGTGGCCCATGGTCAGTTCCAGTGCCTGTTTCAGTGCTTGTTCCTGTACCTAGAGGCACACCACTCCCTTGGCCATTGCCATTGGGACCTTGACTTGCAGCCATGTCAGTGCTTGGCGAAGGGAGTGAATAGAGCTCTGGAAGCTTGGATCTATATTCGCTCAGTGCCATGGCGGAGACGAGCCAATTGTAGGGCTGCGAACTCGGTAATGGTCCGGTCGAGTGAGAGAGGCCAAAGCCGAAGTGATTGATATTTTTAGGAGAGAAAATGGACAATTGAAAGATGTTGTGGTCAGGGCATATGAGGAAAGACAAGTATCAGTTTCACTCCAGTGAGTTTTGGTGATGTAGCCGGTTAAGGACGGGATACAATAAGGGACATACCTAGTCACCAGGCCGCAAGAAACGATTCATTGGGGATTCCACTTCTTAAGAACGGTTCAACCGCTGTAATTTGAAAGTCTGAGAGAGCCGCATTGCATGCCCCACGAAGCAACTGCAGAGTGAGGTGTGGACAAGAAATCCCCACATGCCAGGGAATTTGGAGATGGGTACCTCTACTTGGGGAAAGCCACCAACATGCATGATGGGCTTGACAAGTCCGACCATTGGCGAAATGGTACCTATACATAGAGGCATTTTACCATTACATCTACCCTATGTGTACCTCTTCTCTTTTCCTACTCTCTCCACATATAGCTAGAGGTACGGGGTTGAGACTGCCCGGTCTCAATCTGCTGCTTCAGACTAGAACCCTTGTTGTGTCGACTGAACCGGGCACCGGTTATTCTCGTTACAAGTGCGAGGCAACCTTGTAGGTACAGGTAGGTAACATTGAGGACTAGAGGGAAGGATCATTACGAACGGCTATAACTGCTAGCCGAAAAACAAAACAGGACAGGGATTCTTGAGTCAGAGCCCTCAAGGCTCTGGAGCTTACAGGTACCTTACTATTACGTCGATATAAGACCATGAGCGTACCTCATGGGTCAGACATCTGGCAACAGAGCACAATGACCTACATGTCCAGAAATTAAGTGACCAAGAGGAATGTACTTGTATGTACCTCTATACAGGTAGGTTCCGCGGGGTTGACGGGACAAATCATTCAGTCTGTGTGCATGCACGATTGTCGTGCTTACCTACCTCTTACGTACCTACAAACAGCCCCTTTACCCAACACTCCTGCACTTCAGCCCAAGTACTGAGCCATTCGGAGATTCACTCGACGATAGAGGTAAGGTAGGTATTAGTGGGGCGCTGCAATGCTGGTGCAGGCTATCAGGCACCAAGCTGAACAGAGCCTGCTTCAACCGGTTTCTATCTTCCAATCAACTCGTCGCCCGCTCGCTTAGGTGCACAGCCCACAAGCTCTCACTGGAACTTCCTGAACTTCATGATAGGGTAGAGTAGGTAGTTGACTGACAGTGCGCCACGATGCACTTGGCAAAGATAATGCAGCCATTCGAGCTGAACAGTGACAGCCTGGTGAAGACAATGCCCTCATTGGAAGCGCGGCTTCCCCACTGCATTGTCGATCACACTACTGACGCCTTCTATGCGATAAACAAACGGAGCGATTCATGTGTTTCTATCACATCAGGCGGAAATTGTAAGGGCCCCGAATGGTCAGCAAGGATACCTCTACCTATCAAGTGTGCAAGTTTAGAGGTATCGTTGCCGTCGAAGGCACAACAGAACACGACGGCCATGTCTCGGTTCTAGATCATCAAAATCTCTGTCTTTGCATTGTGGCTACCACTCTTGTTTTGAGACAAGAAGGACTGCTGCTTTGTACCTATTTATCTCTGACTTCGAATTAGGTAGGTACAACCTACACCAGTCCTCGTTGATGACGGCAAGGACTCATAGTTGAATCTTTGAACGGTCCTCCTGTTTCGCTCTACCCACCTGCAGGTCCGTATGACTGTATCCTCTTCGGTACGGCTGTGATCTCCCCAAATCCATTTAACCATGGCTGATTCCTTCCCATTTTACTCAGAATTCCCTCGCCAATCCTTATCGCGATTGAGCTTTGATAGGTGGTGCCTACCTCTAGCCAGTCTCAACCGACTCCCCCATATCATACCTAGTACCTACCTCTACCTACCTACTACACCTATCTTCGGTCAGAAATTGAAGACGCCGCGTAACGCCTGCCTTCACTTGGTTTTGACCACAACGGTCAAAACATCAGCGAAGCGTTATATACCTCTACGCCCCTCAACGTGTGCATCCGGCCGACACCAACAAGCCATCAACAATGAGTGCCTCTACCAGCACGCTTCCACTTCATGCCGTCAGTTCACAGCCTGGCAAAACGCATGGGGGACGGTGGCTAAGGTCTATGAAGCATTTTCGGGGTAATGGCGCCAAACCCCCGTCGTCTGTGTCTTCTGCACCCACTGCCCAGTCTGGCGTACAACAACAAAAGACAAAGACCTCTGAACCGACGAGGCAGCCACCAACAAGCATTGCTGTGACCGAAGCTGAAGTCAAAGAGGAACTGAGAATCCACAAACGTTTTCAACTGCCGTCAATCGCGCCGGGAATTGAGGTTACGGACTTGCCCAACTTCGACGATGTCACTCCGTATGACGTGACAGAGGACACTCAAGAGCAGCTCTGGGATTTGGAGGCCAAGAGACTCGTCGAAGCTATCACCCAAGACAGTCCACCCCGCTTTGAAGGGTCTCATGACTTGAGCATCGATTCTAAAAAAGCACACGCGCTCCTCGCTGTTCTGGCTGATCGGGTCATGCAATGCCTGATCATTTGCTCTTATGATGGCGAAAATTTGCTAGCTCAACACCACGAAGCACGCTGCAGTAGATCGGAGCTCAGGAGTTGCAAGATATCCCTGGGCTATTTGATCGGGGAGGACAAGGAGGATGACTTGTCAAGCACAACAGATGACACAAGCAAAGTGGACACGGTAGAGGACATCAAGGCCAGTGACGAAGACTTCTTCGCATTTGTGGATTATTGCAGCAATATTCTAGCTCGCATCCTCTGCTCCGCTTTTGATGGCAGATATGTGCACGTCAACATTCTCGCACATCTGGCGAGGATCTGTACCAAGGTCAAGATCCTCTCGGCTGATCTCAAGAAGTTTGCCGAGATCTCCCTGGACAGAGCTGCACCGGAGATGGATATTCCGATTCCTAGCCAGCATGGCCTGCGTAGACCTCATGATGGTCAAATTGAAGATGGAGGTCCCAGCGTTGTCAAGAAGGTTGTGGTGAACGGAGGTGGCGCATCCGGAGGTGTTAGCCGTCTCCTGCAGAGCCTTGAATCCCTGAGTCATGATCAGATGGCGCCGCTAGAGACCGAAAGCAAAAAGAAAGCACTTCGGATCAAGTACTGTGAGAAGCATGACATATATCGAACCTGTCTGACCAAAATGCTTCAAAAGGTTGTCGTTCATTTGAGAGGGACGAACCGGCTCACACAAAGCTTCCCGACATTCTACGAGATCTGTGCAATGGTGTATGAAACCGGATTCGAGCGCTTCAGGACACTGGTCTTCCAGGATGAAGCAAACGTTTTTTATGGGACATCAGACGCGGTGATCGTCAACTATTGTCGAAGTGGCTACCACCTTCTCAATCGCACTCTAGCTCAAATGTCTGAGGATGGGAGCATTTCTGAAAGCCAGATCACTCCTCCTCCTGCTTCTGGCCCAACAGCGTCGGATGGCACCACATCCATTGGCACGACAGTATCCTGGGACTATACGCCCGATGCCGAAGATGGTGCACACACATATGCATCCAATCCTCCAGATACCATTCACAAATTCTTCCAAATCGGGTCCATGTCAAATATCATTACCATCGTTGTGCCATTGCTGCTGGCAAACCCAAATCATGCGGCCCTCGCAAGCGATTTTTTCAATACGATTTCCTTCAACAACTTTCTTAGCGGACGTCCCGAAACAACAACTGAGCAGAACCTGCAACAGCAGAGTACGTTCCAGCAATCTGTTTACGGCAAGTATACCGCTTGCTTCTCCTTAACCACCAAGGAATATCGTGACGAGCAAAGCAAGCGTTCTCCAGATGGACCCAGGTCCTTATCGAACGCCCTGATGCGCCGCAAAAATCTCCACAGAGGCGACGAGCTCGGAGAATTTTCCAGGGTGGACAGCCTTGCTTTCAACAGGGGGAAACCTGGCAAGGGGCCATCGTCTGCCGTTCATACCTCAAATGAAGACACCTTCCAGCGCCAAATCGAGGACCATCAGAAAGAGCTGGATCGCTACGGCACCAGTATGAAATCTTGGGTCTTTGAAGAAAAGGGCATCATGGTCAAGTGCAAGACATATGTCGCCCTGACAATGGTATTATGCACCGTCCTTGTGGGAGGTGGGATAGCCGTTGGCGTCACGGTTGGCTCGAGCATCACGGCCGTAGATCCATTCAACATCACAACGTACTGCTGGGTACTGGCAGCGTTTGTTCTTCTGATTGCAAAAAGCATTCGGGTTCACGAGTGGCCATGGAACGACTTTCTTCACGGACGTGTCCTCTGCAAGAGCGTCTCCGAACTCTCCTCGGTTACCGGGATCCCGGATCGTCTCATTTTGGCGAAGCTGTTGCAGGACGAATCACTTTCTCGTCTGATAACAAGGGGACCGTTTAATGCAGTGTTTCGCAGGCGAGAGAACGAAGGCTTCTCGATTGACCGGCCGATAAGCATGTGGACAATGCTTTTGAGTGGGTTGATCATGATAGAGGTTGAGTCTGTTGGTGGCAAAGGGCTGGTCTGTCTGGACCTCCGCAGGGGAACAACAATTGAAGCAATAAGCCACACGGCGGACTTTCAGGATTGCTCGGATGAGAAGAAATTGTACATCCATTGCAGGAGTATACCAGGCAGGAAAGAGTTGACGAATGAGGGGCACATACATCCCAACAAAGTGGCTCTAAACTCAGGGCCATTTCAGTGGATGCGATCATTGGGTTTCTATTCAAACAAGGATGCCATGTTCGTTTAGTTCCACGTGCTGGGGGCATCTTGGTCGTTTTGAGGACTGGATGTAGGTTCACTGCTGCGCCGAAAGATTTGGCCTTTATGTATGCTTGAAAGTGGCACATGTAACTCGGAATGATTCTTCCACGAAAAACACAGCCGATCGTTGAAATGTTGATGACATGGACTGTGCCCAAGAAAACCGTAGCGGAAGGTACGGACCAGGACCCGTGGAAATTGACAGTACCTACATGAGAGAGATAAGAAGGATGACTTCCTGACTCCCTCATCTAATTCCACCGACCCCTTTCCCCGTAGGTAGAGGTACCTATCCAGCTTCACGTCGAATCAGGATCCACCAACCCCAGTGCCTCCCTCCACCCAACCACCAACCACCCTTTCCACCTCCCACAAAAACTCATCCACTCCCTTTCTATCATGCCACGCCTCATTAAACGCACAACTCAAACACAACTCCCCATCAAACGTGCCCAAAAACACCCCCAACCCATTCGTCAGTTCCTCCCCCGTCACCCACGGCCTATGCACCTCCAACTTCATTCCTCTTTCCTCTCCGAGATCATGTACCCTCTTCAAAATCCTATCAACAACCCCCATGCTCGAAACACTAACACTCGGCACCTCCTTTGGCTTGGGCACTTCTATCTTTTCTTCTCCCTTCAACACCGCTTCAGGAAGGACAGGTGTCCAGTTTGCCCAGATCGCTGGGGCTAGAGCGGAATGCATGGGATCGTCCCTCACATTTGTGTAATAATCCTTGATGTGGTTCAAGACTGTTTCAAATTCCGCTCTTTTTTCTTGGGAAGTGGTAGAGGGTGTAGATGACATATCTACCTGTAACTTGGTTGAGGGTAGGGAGTGATATACTGAGACGCAGTGTAAGGGTGTGTTGTAGGGGGGCTGGCAGGCTGCGCGTTCGTTGCGGAGGAGGTAGTTGGTGTATCTCATGACTTGTTGTTCTTGTTCGGGAACGGATGTGGATGTGGACATGGAGGAAGAGGTCTTGACGCTGGAGCTGGAGGTGGAGCTGGAGGAGGGAAGTTTAAGATGGGCATTGCGCAGTGTGAGAGCGATAGCGGCGTGGAAAGCGTGCGTCACCGTTATACCCGGGTGGTAGTTCTTGAGGAAGGTGATGAGCGCCGAGGTGCGTTCGCGGGAGAGGTAGTGCGCTATGCGTTGATGTTTCCCAGGCAAGAGAGAGCCTTTGGTGTAGGGGATGCCGATTTCTTCAAAAAAGGGTATATCGGGATTTAAAGGTTGCGAGGCTGGGGCTTTGGTGGTGGATAATCGGGTTTGGTGCTCGGGAGTGGGAGTCGAGGGAATGTTGGCGGCTACTCGGTAGGGCGGACTGAGGTTGGATGCTTCGGAGCCGTCAAAGACGGGGAGCTCGCGGAAGAATTCGCCTTCGGTGAAGGCTTGGGTGGTTTTAGTGACGAGACTGTTGAGGAAGTGGAGCGTGCCGATGCCGTCGATGATGTCGTGGGGAGAGCGCAGGACGAGGTCGCGGCGGATGCAGATGGTGGAAGGATCCTGGGATGTAATTACAGCGCAAGGACAGATGACGAACAGAGTGGGTGTGGTTGGAGCGGGTGGATCGGAGTTGGCCCAGTCTTCGCCTGTTTGGCCGGTTGATACCACTTGGAATGTCCTTTCGAGCCATGCTTTTGTCGATGCGTCGTCGGGAATGGTTCGGTAGGACTTTTTCCACTTTCCGTCGAGAGCGTCGTAATGCACAGATGAGGCGATGGTTGGAGTTTCGTAGCGTTGTCTGAGCCAGGCAATCCGGAGGGACTCGTCAAGCCGTCTGGAGACGACTTCCGGGTCCTCATCTTCAGGGACACTGATGGTCAGGGCGATGTGGCCCGTGATGGCGAAGTGCATCCGTCCGGATCCTGCGTAGAGCTTGGCCAGGGTTGAGTAGAACACTTCGGCTTCGTCGGCATCGCGCTGCCATAGTCCGGGACGGATCTGACGCCAGTTGTAGTCATCGCGCTTGACACCGGCCTTCAACACCCTCATCTTGAAAGTTTGGGTGTGGAAGTGGAGTCGTGATGTTTCGGTGTTAAAAAGGGGGAAGTAAACAAACAGGTGGGTCCGGCTGCTTGGCGTCCAAGCGGGCAGTAAGGTACCTAGGTACTTGGCAGGATTGTCGCTTTTGGTTGTCGATTTATTGACGCAAGTGTGAACGTGTTGTGGGAAGACTATTGTGTATATGAGGGCCTGGGATGGTCACTGACACTTTTGCTCATCGTTTGTGGTGTAGGTAGAGTCCTGTCGGTGCCTAGAGTGAACCCCAAGTCAGCGCTGCCCGACGGGCATGAAACCTGAATCACGTGTGCCATTGCGACGTGCCAAATCCAGCGTTCAGCCAACGGCGTGGTCATCTCACCCAGCAAGAGCATAGAGACAGAGGAGGAGATTCCGGGCAAATCAATTGGTCGCTGTCAAAACATATGCCACGGCATGTTTAGCCGTTCCGATCTGCGAATCCGATCATCAGCGGCCGATATTCGAATAGCGGGGTTTGCAGCAGCAACATATGACTGTAACGCAGTTATGTAGTCTAATGCGTGTTTACGTAAGCCACACAACTCCTCACAGAAATATCATGTGGGGGAAACCAACCAACACATTCCTTTCCACTTCTCAAGATAACAACGTCCTTGCACTATGGAGTCGGACGCATTACGGTTACACGTTAGCACTTTCTCATCACTGCTGACACTCTGTACTACACTACACTACAGTAGGACATCGCCGAGGTTCGTAACCTTTTCAAGTAAAGTTGGGTGGTACCGCGGTGGGGTTTTCCGGTAGTCAAGCCAATCGCATTTTGTACTCCGCTGCTGATCGTCCCAAAATTCGCTACACTACCTCTACAGAATGGAGTAAGCAGAGAGAGGTACGGGCCCCCTAAGCTCGAAGATCATGTCTATATCAGCGGCTTCCCCTTGACGGATGGAGACATCTGGTCCTCTCCTCAACGTCGACCTGTGCAACGACAACCTTCAGAAACATGGCTCTCACCGAGCTACTGGGATCCCTCCCGTTGGTCTCCAGCGGGATGTCCAAATTCCAAGTGGCCGCCATCTATCTTGCCATTGGCTTTGTCACTTGGTACATCATCTCATCCTACACTGCCTGGTATCGGCTCAAGGCCTTTCCCGGTCCTCCCACCACTGGCTTTTCCAACCTTTGGGCTGCTAGAGCCATCTGGACCGGCAAAGCACACAAGATCTTTCCCGCGACTCAAGAGAAATATGGCCCCATCACTCGCATTGGGCCCAACGCGCTCATGGTCTGCGACGCCGCTACCGTTGTCCACATCAACGGCGTCCGCGGCGGCTACGCTCGGCCAAAGGACTTTTACGACTGCATACGGATGGACCCCTGGGATCACACGGTCCTCTCCGAGAGCGACTCAGCCATGCACAACGAGCGCAAGACCAAGGTCTACGCAGGCTACCACGGCAAGGGCGAGATGGATATGGAAAAGGATGTCGACATGGTTGTTGCTGAGGCTGTCGAGCTTGTTCGCGAGAAGTACATGAACTCTGCAAGTGCCACTTCTGGACATGAATCCAAGCCCCCGCTGGACTATACCCGTATTGCTCGACACATTGCCGTCGACTCGGTCACGCAGACTGGGTTTGGCAAGGCTTGGGGTGATGTCCGCGAGGAAAAGGATCACTTTGGGTGGCTGGGCTTTGCGGATATGATAGTGGGGTATCTGCATAGTTTGGCCTACGTCCCTGCCATTAGCAAGATTGTGGTGTCAAAGCCTTTGATGGTCCTTCTCGGTCCGAAGCCAACGGATAAGACGGGTATGGGTGCTTTTCTCGGGTGAGTCCCAAGTTCCCTTTCGTGAACTGCGTCAACGACTACTTGCTGATAGCTAATAACTCCCAGTCTCATCGAGCGAGAGGTAGCCAGACGCTACAAGGACGGCAGCGCAAAGGGCACGCCCCTCAAAGCCGACACCGGCCGCTCCAGCATGCTTGTACGTCTCCCCCCTTTCCCCCTTTCCCCCACCACTCCATGTCTCTCTCCCCAGAGACACTAACACATGCCCCAGGACGAATGGGTCAAAAACGGCATCTCCCAACGGACCGCCGTCCTCGAAGTCTCTGCTCAACTCCCCGCCGGCACCGACACCACCGCCTCCGCCCTCCAAGGCACCATGCTCTACCTCCTCTCCACTCCCCGCGCCTACGTCCGCCTCAAATCCGAAATCTCCACCGCCCTCAACAGCGGCCTCATCTCCTCTTCTTCCATCATCACCGACCAAGAAGCCCGCAAGCTTCCCTACCTCCAAGCCGTCCTGCACGAAGCCATCCGCTTGATGCCCCCCCTCATGAACGGCTTTCCGCGCCAGGTGCCGCCAGAAGGAGACACCATTTGCGGTAAGTTCGTGCCGGGTGGTACGGACATTTTCATCAATTACGTGGGGATGTTAAGGGACAAGAGCGTGTTTGGTGAGGATGCGGATATCTTTAGGCCGGAGAGGTATTTGGAGGGTCATGGATCAGATGACGAGGAAAGGAGGAATCGCATGTTGAAGACGACGGATTTGGCGTTTTCGCATGGGCGGTGGCGGTGTTTGGGGCAGAGGCTGGCGTGGGTGCAGTTGCAGAAGGTTGTTGTTGAGGTGAGTCATCCTGCCACATATGATCCGATCATGATCAATGAATGGGAGGAGGAGGTTGTGGATGATGATGAAAAGCTAACGAGAGACCAAAAAAAAAACAGTTTATGAGGAACTTTGATCTGCAGATTGTGGATCCGATGCATCCTTGTCATTTGAGGGGCTATTGTACGCCCGAGATGGATGATTTGCTGGTGAGGGTTACTGAGGCAAAGTTGGATTAGGTAGTTTGTTCAGGAAATTTGAGACAAGAAAAGACGGATGTGGGAAGGAATTTGGACCCGATGGCTTGTAGGTTGATAATCTCTGGGCATTAACAAGCTATTTCGGTCCAGGCTGTCCTGTTGCCAGGTAGTAATAATGGGTTACTCCTTTTGGCGTTGCTTCTTGTCGTCACGAACATGTTTTGCGTATTTGTCCCATCCGCATTACATCATCGTATCAAAAAGTTGTGCTTGCCTCTCAACTTCCTTATCGTTTGTTTCATGTCTAGGGTTTCTTTGTTACACACTACACTCAACGTGGTAATCACTCAAAGAGGCGCTTGCCGTAGGTCGACAAAGAACTTCATTGTATGGAAACATCAATACCTCTACACTGTGCAGTTTCACAACATCATCACCAGAGAAGCACACCTTTGCAACCAACCTATAAGTAAACGTGATTGATGAACTGCAAGCATCGATACCAAGTAGTGGTTTCTCACAATTGCCGATGTCGGTTGCTGCATGTTGTGCACGATTCTAGTGACTGTATCTGTTCGGCGTTGTAAGCTATCGATACATCGTCCATACCGAACTTACGGTAATAATCATATACGCGTATCACATCATGGGCACTCTGTGGACACTCGCCGATAAAGACACCATTAGCACATCCTTTGCACAAGCACTTGGACAAAACGCTTTGATGGAGGGATTTGGGTTTTATCTGTTTTCCCCTTGTTTTGTTCAGGATTTTCTTGTTTCTATACACCGCGGCACCATGGCCGCGCATTCCTCCTCGCTACATGCGTGCCGACCAACAGCTCCTCTCCTGACTCCTGACTACTGGTCCATACTATACCAAACAACGTCCCTTACTGAGCCTCAAGATCATTGCTCCTGTTGGTACAAGAGCGACCGCCCCACAAGAACCAAAGGGGGTTCGAAAAAATGCCGAACACTCGCGAGAACACGCGGAGGAAGAAATTGCTGGCTTTGAAAGGGAATCCGGCCATGAAGTTGATGATACCAAATGTGCCTGATGAGAAGAGTACATTAGTAAAGAGATCCCAAATGCAGAACAACCAATGATTGAGGGGATGCATACCTTGAGAGAGTTTTGACACCAGACGTTCCGGCTCGATGCTCCTGGAGGGAGCGCGACGATCCGCAAACCACGGATGAGCCATAATCTCGGCCGTGCTCACCCGATCCTCTGGCATCCACTTGAAGATACTGAATACCAAATCCCGAAACGAGTCAACATCACCGACCGTCTTCTTTGGCGCTTGACCACCACCCAGCGCAAGTTCAACGAGCGTGTCAGCATCTGTGTCTCCATAAGCCGGTAACCTCGTCTTATCCTTCGCCCACTGCCTCTCGATGTTGGCCGCCATTTCCTCAGTTTGTGACTGATGCAGGCCTATCGCCATCTCGCGGCTGAGCGGATCCTCGTGACCACAGTGATTCTTGATTGCAGTTTTTCTGGCTTTCCAACGCTTGACCGAAAATGTCAACGGGCTCAACACCTTCTCGCCTAGATCCGGGTCCGTCACCATATCGACAGCTACCAGTGCACTGTGCCATGGACGAGACTTCTCTCTATACCACTTCCTGAGTGCCGTGCGAAACGGCTCCGGGATGGGACCGACGACCATCTCCATGTCGTCGACCACAGCGAGCAAGTCATCTGGAGACTTGTCGAAGGGGAGGTAGCCGAGTGCGAGCTCGGCGAACGTGACACCAAGAGCCCAGATATCACTATGTGGTCCCAGCTTGATGGTCACCTCCTCTTTTCCTTCTCCGTTCTTGCGCGTGATTGACTCCTCTGGCGGCGCATAGTTGAGTGGGATGCCAGTGCCCTTGACAGGTGGCTTGTCGACGGGATAGGACACTCCGAAATCGATGATGGCCACCTTGGATGAACACCATCCTCCTTCGATCAACTTGGCCATGTTCGCCTGTCCAATAAAATACCGCGGGAGGCCCTTTGGCCATTCCTTCTCTTTCATGTCTCTCTTCGTGGTGTTGGCGGGTGGAATCCTAGAAAGCTTCGCTATCTGCACGCCTCCGAGTGCCGCCACCAGTTCGTCATCCCCCATTTTCTCTACCTCCTCTGTCAGGCAAAAGAGAATGTTGGCCGGCCTGAAGTCGCCGTGACACAGCCCCTTTTGGTGTAAAAAATGCAACGCCTGAACAAGCTGGAAACACACATGTTTGACCAGATCCGTGACATGTCCGTAAAATGCGCAAAAGGAGCCGAGGTTGGGACCGAGACAAGGGGTAATGAAGCAGAGGTGCGTGCCGTTGGGCTGATAGGGGAGCCAGAAGTGCTCTGTCGGTAAAGTAATGTAGTATTTGCTGAGAAGGTATATATTAATTCTTTATTAATGCAATTTATAGCTTTATAAGATAGGATATAGGTTTTATTGTTTATGTTGCGTAGAAGAAAGCGCTATATAAAATTCAATAGGGTACTGTATAAAAAGTATATATTGTACGAATATAACCGCAATTTGAATTTAAATACTAAAATACTCGCTCTAAAAAGGAAGGTGTATATTAGATATAGGTTAAAAGGAATAAGTAAATTATTATATAATATTAGGCTTATATTTAGTTTATAAAATAGGGTTAATTGCTAATATTTTATAATAAACTATAAATGATATAAATATTAATATTTTCTAATAAAAAGAAGCAATAGATATTTAATTATTTCTAATTAATTCTATATTTGGCTGTTGTATAACCGGAAATTTCCTTTTCTACTATCGTTATACTATTAGAAATAATAGTTATTCTTATACTTAACGGTTGTAATATACTAAGAATTATATTTGAAATTCATATATTTAGAAGGTATTATAAAAACGAAATTATAAATTTATAATATTATTAAATCTATTTAAATACGAATTTGAAGAAAAGAGAATAATCCTTCTCCTTCTCCTATCGTACTAAATTAATCCCTATAATGCTATATAAAAGTCGGCCGTCAATTCCAAACTATAATATTAAAATACAGAATACTTAATATTAATATAAATAAAACTTTCCGAATATTTAAATATAAAATACTTATTAATATAAGGACTATCAATATATTAATAGGTTATAGAATATTAAAATTTGAAAACTTAAGTACTATTACGATTAAATTTTAATTAACCTCCTTTATTTAATCAATTATTGAACGAAATTGATTTAATTTCTTAAATTAGAAATATTTAATAAAAAGAAATACTAAATTAATAATTTACTTACTAAATTTTTTTATAAATATTAGTTGTAAACTATTATTCCTCTAAAGCTGGCGGTTCTCCAGGCTTGGGATATTAACGCTTCGTCGCGTCCGCTAAATAGCTATAATACTACTTATTTAAATTTTCCTTATTATATTAGACCTTCTCAAAGTAAATATAATTTTAGAAAAGAAACTCTTCGCCTTACTATCCCTATTACTTACCTACGTACAAAGTAATATAGGAGTCTACTTCTATAATTATATTTTACTATCGGCTAGTCCAGCCGTTAGTATATCTTAGCACCGTCCCCAGCTCGTTATACTAGTTCTGAGTGCAGTGGGGATCGGCCCGCACCACAGCGTAGTCGTAGTTCAAGTTGCGAAGGCGGTCCCGGATGATGGACTGTAATTGGCTGAATTGTGCTCCCTGCTCGTCTTTAAAGGTCCTGGTTGGGTTCTGGATCCATATAATGTTTGGATCCTGTTCAAACCCGTAATCCTGCGGGCTGAAGATTGATCGGGCTTCATGACTGTCGGCGAAGCCCACATCTTTTTTTTGCAGGATGCTGCGAAGGTCAATCCCGTTACCTTCGAGCGTATCACCAGGTGTAAACCTAACGTGGCTGTTGGGTTTCAGCTCGCGGGCACGACGCCAAGAGTCCTGACCTGGAACCTTTCCGTTCTTGAGTGTCCACGGACCGGTGGGTGGCATTGTGGATTAGGCGAGGTGTGGTTGACTTTCGTAAGGCCTTGGGGCGGATGTGTGACTTTGAGGTCGAGAATATGTGTCGGTTGCTGAATGGGGTTTGTAGTTGTTGTTGAAGATGAAGACGAAGAGGGCCGAAAAGGAAAGCGAAGAATGTCGAAGAGGTCGAGGAAGAAGGTCGCAGAGGAAGACGTATTGTAGAAGACTGAGACGACGAATGTCGAAAAGAAAGACGAAGGAGGTTGAAGACGAAGACGAGAAATGTCTAGCTTGGTTGATATCTGAGGCTTGGAGGCGCTTTGAGGTCGCAGATATTCTGGGAGGCTTCTGCTGATGGTCGAAGGCTGGAGGAGAAAGGGTGTTTTGGGAAGAAGTGGGAGAGCGTTGAGAGCAGGCTTTTATCCTGTAGCGGGAATGAATATTTGTTTCCTGGAACCTGTGGTCAATTCACCTGGAGTATAGGAGTGAATTGCGTGGGTTGACAGGTTGGTGTAGTAAACCTTGGTGTTGCTCAGGCAACACATCTGACCTTGACGGGACAGAACCTTGAATCTGAGCCTGCTCCATCAAGGCCCGTAGACGCCGGGCTGGTGACATGAAGAATAGCAGATCAAAGAGCTGGCAGAGTGAAGAATGTCGCATCTTAGGCCGGTGATGGTGAAGGGACTGGCAAAGGTTCTTCACCTGCGCAACGGCGATTCTATCTTCACGGTCCATGTTCAACCGAGAATGAGGAGTAAATTCATGAAAGTGACACAGAAATATAGCAGAGAGATATATGATGCGCAGCCAAGAGAACACTGCTCTAGAAAGCTCCTTGGGGGTATCTGGCAGGGGACTGTGTTGGATATTATATCAGATTTGATGTGTAGTTTGCATGTAATGTTTGTGATGGTGTGCTTACCAGAAAACTGGACATGTTTTCCATGTTCGGAATTTCTGGCAACAGACAAAAAACATGCTGGATTGAATCACGCTGGGCCATTGACAATCGTGTATTATATGTCCGTATAGTCGCAACGCCACCGTCAGAAAGGAAGTTTAGTAGGAGGTGATTCCAGTAGTCATGACAGGTATCACGGCAGACGTCGAGCGTGAGAATGCCAACACGAAGCATCTGATGGCGGGGATGACTGTGATACAGTGGATTTATTGTAGCAAATTCGAGGGGATGGATAACGTGATGAGACCACGCAGACTGGCGATAGACAGGAAGGAGTCACGGACACGACCATCCGGTTACCGACCCTTCTGGAGGATTGGACGTTCCTGCCTCCCAAGGTTCAACAAAGAATTGACTTGAGACTGGATGGTACGTACTGGCCTGAGCCTCAATTCTCTCCAGCCACAGAGTGCAAACAGTTTGCTTGTCAGAAAGCCACGGCACATGCTTTGTTCGCCGAACACCAAACCTTGGCACAAACAACAAACGAAGTGGCCCGTGAATGTTGAGACTGTTCACCTGAAATCTGCCCCGTCCAGGTCGCAGCCAGTCTCCACCATCGCCATTGGCGACTGCCGACGCTTTGCTATTTGACCAATTCGTTTTGTAGAAGCCAATCTCGACCACTTCCTGCCACCTGCATTTCTTGACAAGCCAACAGAAGTCGCCGCAGCATCATCGCAGGCACGCATCGCAACTACCATCACAAGCATCGACAAGATGGTGAAGGACACGATGGAAAACGACAAGAAAACACAAGTTATCGCCAGCGATCCAATTGCCCCTCCTCCCGCGCCGTCGCCCCCCAGAAACGGCAACACCTCCTTCGTCGCCATGCCCGACGACTGTCCTCCAGAGTGCCCACAAGAAGACCATGTCAAGGTGGATGACGAAGCCCACGAAGATGTCGACGACGACACCAAGTCCGACTCATCAGAGCTAGAATACTTTGACTTGGACAGCGACCACCTCACTACTCCCATTGAGTCTCTTGACGACTATGGCCCCGGCGGCTTTCACCCCGTTCACCTGGGCGACACCCTCGGTCCCCTCTCTGACCCGTCACGTTTTCGCGTCCTTCACAAGCTCGGTCGTGGCGGCTATGGCACCGTCTGGCTCTGTCGCGATACCAAAGACGGCAAGCCGAAAGCGCTCAAGATTCTTTCAGCTGACGCATCGGAAAAAGCGGCGAAGGAGTGCCCCGACTTAAAAGCCCTACAACTTCTCACTCGTGCCGACTCCTACGACACGAACCTTTCCCCTCAAGCTCACGCAATTGCCGAAGACCTTCTAAGATATACTAACGGCTAGACTGGCCGATAGTAAAATATAATTATAGAAGTAGACCCCTACATTACCTTGTACGTAGGTAAACAACGGGGATAGCGAGGCGAAGAACTTCTTCTCTAAGGTTATATTTACTTTAAGAAAGTCTAATATAATAAGGAAGACCCAAATAAGTAGTACTATAGCTATTTAGCAGATACAACGAAGCGTTAATATTCCAAGCCCAGAAAGCCGCCGGCTTTAGAGGAATAATAGTTTATAATTAATATTTATAAAAAAACTTAGTAAATAAATTATTAATTTAATATTTCTCTTTATCGAATATTTTTAATTTAATGAATTAGGTCGGTTTTATTTAATAATTAATCAAATAGAGGAGGTTAATCGGAATTCAGTCGTAATAATACTTAGGTTCTTAAGTTTTAATATTCTATAACTTATTAATATATTAATAATCCTAAAATCGATAGGTATTTTATATTTAGGCATTTAAAAAGTATTTATTTATATTAATATTAAATATTCTATACCTTAATATTATAGTTCGGAATTAATAGCCGACTTTTATATAGTATTATAGGAATTAATCTAATATAATAGAAAAAAGAGAAGGATTATTTTCTTTCCTTTAAATTTATATCTAAATAGACTTAATAAATTAAATATTATAATTCTATAATTAAATAGTATAAAACTTAAACTTAGTAATACTATATATTTATAATTTTATTTCTATAATACTTTTTAAATATATGAACTTCAAATATAGTTTTTAGTATATTATAACTATTAAGTATAAAAATAATTATTATTTCTAATAGTATAACGATAATAGAAAAGGAAATTTCCGGTTATATAATAATTAAGTATAGAGCTAATTGGAAATAATCAAATATCTATCGCCTCTTTTTATCAAAAGATATTAATATTTATATCGCTTATAGTCTATTATAAAATATTAATAATTGACCTTATTTTATGAACTAAATACAAACTTAATATTATATAATAATCTACTTATTCCTTTTAACCTATATTTAATATATACTTTCCTTTTTAAAACGAATATCTTAGTATTTAAATTTAAATTGCGGTTATATTCGTACAATCTATACTTTCTATATAATACCCTATTGAATTTTATATAATGCTTTCTTCTATGTAATATAAATAATAAAACCTACATCCTATCCTATAAAGCCATAAACTACATTAATAAAGAATTAATATATACCTAATAAGCTGGTACGAAAGGAGAAGGGACAGACTGAAAGATCTAGATACAAGTGTCAAAAGATAAAGAACTATAGGCCTCCATTCTGCCAGCGTGCCCAGCGTGCCCAGCGTGCTCAGCGTACCGGTAGGGGGCGGGCGGATTACGGCACGGGCCATTAAGAATTCCTCTCTAGCTAGTGTACACCAACACCAACGGCGCATTCTCTCGCAAACCGTCCTTGTATACAATAGCAGACCCTTACAGCTTGCTTGTACTGAGCAATGGACCCTTTACATCGTACAGAGGCCGATAAAATGTCAATGTCTCTCATTGGAACTGGGTGGTACCTTAGTTGGCGAGTGTAGGTACCGACCTCTATGTACCGCATTGCAAATCGGCGATCCACCGCCAAGAACCTGCCCTCCACTACCTTACCCACCACTCCTCCACCACACACTTCACAGCTGCACTTGATCGCGATAGCAACTTGATAAATCCCTCATCCAACCTCCCTCCTCCAACACCAGCAACAACAACAAAAACTTGCTTCATCAATCAAAACATCCCTCGTGGCGCAATTGGCTAGCGCGTCAGACTGTTAATCTGGAGGCTGTAAGTTCGATCCTTACCGAGGGAGTTTGATACCTTCTATTTTTTCCGTTTTCCTCTTTTTTTTAATTCTTCTTCTTGCATTATGCCGCGAGGTACCTGGTGCGGTCGATGGTTCTGATATGTGGGAAGAGAAGGGAAGGGAAGGAGAATATTTGTAGGTCTATACTTGCTGTACTTGCTGTACTTCGAGTCTCGAGATTTAAAGGGACTAGATAAGCAAAGAAAGGAATGAAGGAAGGAAAGAAAAAAGAATCAAAGAGGCCAGTTTACCAACACAATCAACAGCTCTTTCCACAGTAAACACGAGCAAAAGATCAATCCAAGAAATAGCTTAACGAGAAATAGCTTAACGAGAAATCCCGAAACTCCCACGGTCCCTAATTGCAGTGATATCCAAAACCCTTCCTAACAAGGAAACCCAATCGCTTTATATCGTTACCGACCTAACCCGCCCTAACCTGTTCTCAGAAATCCATATCACCCGTCATCACCATGTTTCGTATTGTTTCAAATCCCGCCTTCATAACATCATGACCAACACCAAATTCGATCCATCCCCATCTCATCTCATCACTACCAATCCCTCCCTCTCCCCCTTTCCCTCTCCCTCTCCCTCTCACGATCTCTGTCCCTCTCCCTCCCACTCTCCCTCACACTCCCATCCCGTTCCCTCAACCCCTCCCGCATACTAACCACATCCCACCCCTCATCCTCCCTACTATCCCTATCCCTCTCTCTCTCACGATCCCTCTCCCTTCCACTATCCCTTACACTCCCATCTCTTTCCCGCAACCCACTCTCCCGATCCCTCTCCGCCCGACTTGATATCCTCCCCAGACTCAAATCCCGCGCCGAAAACCTACTTCGACTCCTCGCTGTGCCTAACCCTACTTGCGTTGCGCTCCCTGGATGTGCATGTGCATGTGCATGTGCATGTGCATGAGCAGGTATTTCGGCATCAATTCCGTACTCTGTCCCGCCGTTCATGGTGCTGCCAGGTATGCTATCCCCCTCCGCGGCACTCGGTGATACCTGGCTATGACTATGCCTGTTGCGTCCCCTGCTCTGGTTCCGACTTCGCTGTCTTCCCTGCAGATTCGGTAAAGTGATGTACCGCTCCGGCAAATCAACAGGAAGTAACTGCTTGAAAATCGGCTGGCTGGCGCTTCTTAGACCTACGGCCGTCATGCCTGCGTTGCGCTGGAGTTTGGATTCGACGATTTGGTGCAGTTTCCGAGTGGTCAGCCATTTTCCCGTGTATCCTCCTCCTGCTCCTCCTAAATGTCCGGTTGTAACCAAGTCTTGCAACCCAGCGTCGTCGGGTCCTGCAGGCCATTCGTCGAGAACGTCGCACATGGCGCTGGTCATGTCGTCGCTGGTGCTGGACTCGAAACCGCAGGCGGCAAAGAGGTGTTTGGTGTAGATTTTCCCGCTGGAAGGATCGGTGTTGTGGTACGTGTCGGTGGCGTCGGAGTGTTCCATGTCGAGATTGGCGCCGCCGGCGGCGCAACAGTCGAGAATGAGCAGCAGGTCGGAGTTGATGCCGAGAATTGCGGAGCGGATGTCGGACCATTTCACTTTGGAGATGGGGCGGTAGCGCTCACTGGGGGTGTTAGCAGCGGACACAGTCGATTGGTAGAATCAAAGGGTGACGTACTACTTCTTCATCAACTCATGATACGGCGTCGTGGGCTTTCCCAGATGCGTACAAGCGTCCTGATTCAAGATCGCAGCGTAAAGTTCAGCCGCGGCTGTTTGCGCCCATTGCGCATCGGTCGGATGTTCGTGACTGCTGAAGACCAACTCGCGCCTCTCGTCCAAACTTCCGTGTCCATGGTAATACACAATCAACAGCGTCTCGTCGTTCGCCCATTTGCTAAATTGCGCTAGTTTGGTCAAGACAGCTTTGAGTGGATCTCGCATGGGAATCAGCCAGTCGTCTACTGTGTACCCATACGATTCAAAGGTATCCCGAAGTCGTCGCGTCTCTTCCTCAAGCGAAACAAACTCGCTGCCGGGGCCAAACATGTACGGGTGTGCGTCGCTGTCGCTGACCTTGAGATCGTGGAAGGCCCAAGTGAGGATGAGGACGCGGACTTGGGCGTACTGGGGGTTTTCTGGGGCAGCGTGACAGTACCTGTTTTGGTTAGATGTTGTTCGTGGAAATTGCTTGGCAGTCACTTACGAAGGCGCAACACTGGGAGCCCTGGAAGAGGTACCCGGCTTCCTTAAACCCAACCCTCCTTGTCTCCCTTCATATTCAAACGTCCCTGTGCCACTCCTAGAAAGCGCACTAGGCTTTCTCGGGCTCCCCAATCCCGGATCCACGCCCATATTGAGCCTTGCCCTTAAGTTGGGCTCCGAAGGCGTAGAAAACAACGAGTCCCGATCATCGCCGAGCTGGTGAAACGAAGCACGATCAAACAAATCCCTCCGAAGTTCTCTGTCCATTCTCTTAGGCCGAACCGGATCAGGTGACCTTGACGGTGGTCTTGAACTGGCATTCGGCCATCCTGCGAGTCGCGAACCTGACAAGCTCGCCCGATCGTTGTAGTACTGAAGCGACGGCCGGTGGTGGGATCCAGAGGGATAATGTTCTCGCGTCTTGGTCTTGAGCGTATGTCTGGCTTTCAGCCTGCGCCTTTCCTCGTCCGAGTCCTGCGCGGATGTTTCGTCATCGGAGGGCGGCGGGGAGAAGGACCTGGGCACCGAAAGCGATCGCGTGCGCGCATGTCTGGGAACATGCTCGAAATTGCTGTCCTGCCGCCGACGGGAAGAAGAAGAAGAAGAAGGGTAATGGGAGGAAATAGTCGAAGATGACCCGACAAGACGTGGTTTCGGACGTTGTTCGCGGTCTCGGTCTAGGTCGCCGCGGTCTCTCTCGAGTCGGCCGACGTGGCTTCGGGTTTCCCTTGGCGAACCGAGCGGGGCAGTGGCTGGGCCCGGTGGGAAGTCGTGGTCGCCGGCGCCGCCGTGGTAGGATTTGTACCGATGTGTATCGTCGATACGACGAGGGCGCTCCGATCTCCTCATGGTGAAAAAAAAAGGAGAAAAAAAAAAAAAAAAAACCAAAGTAGAGGTATGTCGTCGGACAGAAGCCCGACGAGCCTGACAAGCTGTTGTTGTTGTTGTTGTTGTTGTTGTTGCTGGAATACCCCGGTTAACGGTTGCCGGGTGATCGCTAGTGATGGCAAGTAAGTGGGCTGTTGGCCGTTGGCGATTGGTGTAGTAGCGCACAAGCTCCCTGTATCTGTTTGTAGCGTAGCGGGAGCCGTCAAGGTGCGCAGCGTGTCCGGCTGTGTTGGCGCGACGCGAGAACGACTGTTGTAAAATACTCGTCAGGGCTGCAAAAAGTCGAAACAATCCTTTGGTAACAGCGACGGAGTGATGATGATATGCGGAGAAAGTAAGTGAAATGCGAAAAAAAGACAAAAAGTTCGACCAGCGTCGCAAACCCTTGACGAAGCCGCAGAGAGTTGGGAGTGGACGTTCTGTAGGGATGATGAGTGGCTGCAACAACACAGGGCAGGGCAAGGCAGGGCAAGGCAGGGTAGAGGTAGTAGTGTAGATGCCACACCACGAAGCAATGCAGCAGCGTCAAGCGTCAGGCACCCGACTAGCGCCTAGCCAACAGCCCAGCCAAGCTAGCGATCGAACGAACGAACGATGATGGCAGAGCATGGAATGACTGCCTTGTGTGTTGTTCCGCCTATGTATGAATCGTCGGGATATACAAGATTGTCAGCACACCAAATAAATGTCAGTGGAGGCCAACGAATGATGAATGGAGCAAGAAGGCGAAATGGAATCTGGAATCCGCCATGCCTGCCTCATCCCCCCCGAGCCACCATCATGCCCATCCATAGCCAAGACGGCTGTCCTCAGGCGGCCTGCCTGCTTGCCTGCTTGCTTGTGTGTCTCGCTGCGGTGCCGTAGTGGTGGGATGCGTAGGCTGGGTTCCTGTTTGGGTCCCCGTTTGGGTCAATCTGGCTGAAAGTTTGGGTACCAAGCGGCGCTCATTGGGCGGAAATTACGGGACGCGTTACATGTCGTCCTCACTTGTCTCGCATCTGCAGGTGTGTGGACGTGATGCCGCCGGTTGGTTCCCCCCGGATTGTGGTGGTGTGTTACACAGTTACTCCATGTACCTGTAGCGTCGTGGGTTTGTTTGTTTGTGGTGGTGCAGTCAGTGAGGTGGCTTGGTCGTTGGCCTCTGTCATGCCCGCTGTGGCTGCCCCTTGCATTCATTCCGTAATGTGACGCTGCGGACGCTAACAAGTTGGCTGAAAAAAAAACATCGTGACATTCAAGACCTGGCGTTGATAGCCCTCCTTCACACAGAGAACAGAAAATCTTGGAATAACATTTGTCGGGTATCTATAGTCTAACGAAACAGTAGGTAGGTAGGATCTAACCCCAAATAACAATAAGCCAGTCGCTTGATACTTTGACAAGTGTTTGCACACCTCTTCAGCTCTAATTCAGAAATCATCATCGTCATCAAGCCACGAAAGATCCTTCTCTGGACCCAAAAACTGCGTCAGTCCCATGCCTCCCAACTCACCTAGCGCATCCAGGTCTGCATCGCCATAGTCCGTTCCTTGAGATGGCGCAGGTGACACCTCCAAGATCTGCGATATCTGATCTTGCGCTTGCATACTAGGATTTGGCGTTGCCATTGGAGTAGTCTTGGAGGGTACCAGCGACTTTTGTTCGGCCAAATGCTGTGCCTGAACGTTGGACTTTGACAACGACGGCTGTTGTGGAGGGTTCGCTTCAATGACCGGCTTAACCACGCTAGTCCTTTGCGGCGGCACCCACCCCGATATTGACCTCTTCACCTTGCTAATCGAAGGAATGAGCTGCTTAATACTTTGCCCTGGGAGCTGCTTCGCCTGAGTCGCTGCAGGCCTCTGCTCCGGCGCCACTGCCGGTGATTCTGTCCTCCTCGCCGACGGTATCTTCAACTGTGCAATTTCCTCACCCTGGCGCCTCAGCCTTTCCATCACCGCCGCTCTCTCCTCGGCTGCCCTTTTACGTTTCTCTTCCGCCGCCTTTTTGGCTCTTTCTTCGGCTGCCTTCTTGCGCCTCTCCATCATCAGCTGTTCACGACGCGCCTTTTCCTGCCGCCGTTCTTCGTCCTCCCGAAACGTCTTTTCGCTTTCTGCCATGGCTAGTAAGATTTGAATGCCTACGCCACTGGAGCCAAAGAACCGTTGAGGCGACGGCGATCGAGGCCGAGGGGCGGGTTTAGGGGTGGGAGGAGTCGCGGCTGCCGCTGTGGGCAAGCTTGGGTTGGGAACTTCCGCTTGTTGATCGTCACCAATGGCCGGGCTTAGTTTAGGAGATGAGTTCGCTGAAGCCCGGGGCCTCTGGCTTGGGTTGGAGGGAGGAGATATCGCTTCCGCCTGTTTCTGGGATGCTAATGCTGATGCCGTCTTCGGGTCTAGCATGATAGACGCTGGGATGGATGGGCGTTGGGCTTTGTACGCTGTGGAGGTCGCCTGAGGATTCGATGTCACCGAACCAATTGAGCTTTGCCTCGAAAGAGCAGGTACACTTGTCATCTGTTTCGAAGAGGCAAGACCCGGAACAGGTTTCGGGGCTGGTGTCGTGGTCGCCGTTTGATATGGATGAGTTTCCTTGACAGTTACAATCGAGGGCGACGAAAAGGCAGTCTTGGGTGATGGCTTCAATGGATGCTGAAAGTTGTCCTTTCGGTTATCAACCTTGGTGGGCGTGTCGCTTTCCAGCTCCCGTATGTCCTGTGATGAAAAGAGCAAGTCCTGAGTGGACAGAAAAGGAAAGATGTCATCTTCAACAGGCTTCACTTCTTGTATTCGAGGTCGTGAAGGTGCGATTTGTACATGTGACGTCTGGCGGGTAAATCTTTTCGGTCCTGGTGCCAAAGAGGACTTGGGAACAACCGCAGGGGCTTGTCCTTGCTTGTCAGACTGGGATTTGAAGACTGGCGGGCGCGATGTGGCCGTGGACCCAGTATCCTCCTCCAGCTCCCGAAGCTCTTGAGATGGACTGGGGAGAAGGTCGTCGAGGTGCGACATGACGAATAACTGTGTGCTTGTTGGTGGTGTATTATTGGTTGAGACCGCCGGCTTGCCAATGATGCTGGAGAGCGATGATCTCGAAGCCGACGCTTGAGGGTAGTTCCTCGGAAGGAATTTGGGCTTCTGGATACCCCCGCTGCTAGGTCTGACCATAGGTCGCTTAAAGCTTGGTGGACCTGGCGAGGGACGTTGTGGTACTAATGCTGGAGGGCCCATAGGTCTGTGTGGGGAAGGGAACTTGTTGGGATTGGCCGTTGTAGACGACGGCCCAGGTGGGTTGGCAGGAGCTGTGACCTGATGCTGGGCTCCCGGAGGCTTCAGTCTCGCGGCATTTGAAGGCTGACGGGCAGACATTGAAGGTCGTGGTGGTGGTGGTATGGGGGAAACATGAGGTTGCGGGGACGGGAATGCTTTGGATGCTTCGACAGCTGAACGCACCACCGACGTGTTCGGCGTAGAGGCTTTGGGCTTTGGTTGTGAGCTCTCCTTTGGTAATTGTTGCTCCTTTTCCTTATTCACGTGCTCCAGCTTCTGATAGCCTTGTGGCGGCACTGTTTCCTTGGACGGTTTTGCCGGAGTAGACCGATTCCCGTCCGTCACCCCAAGAATTGGCCTCGGTCGCATACCAGTCGGTAACGGTTTGACAACCTTCTTAACTGGATCCAGCTTTAGAGGAGCATTCTCTAATCGTCTCGGTTGCAAGGCTTCCACCGATTGCGGTCGACTTAACCCCATATCCTCCAGATTCCTGTCCGGCTGTAACCTTGTTGGTTTGGGCAAGACCATTACAACTTCCTCAGGAGTCTCCAGCCTCTGTGTGTTGGATTCTGTACGTGTCTTGGTCTTGTCGTGCGACTGAGATCCTTCCTTGCCTGACCGTCGTGGTTGTGAGGTCCGCTGGCTTGTACTCTCTGTCCTATCCTCCACCCATGGCACGTTCTCCTTGTTGGTGATCGTGGTGTCTTCCACCCCCGATATGCTCTCCTTGCAGGGTATCGTTACCGCATCTTGCCTGTTAGATTGACTGTCCTGGTCCAATCGTGGTCGCTTCCTCAGACTCTCATCTATCACCCCTCCACCATCCGGTATGTTCTCCTTATTCGAATCGTCTCTCTCCGGAGAAACAGTCCGGCTTTGCTGGTCCACAGCCGGGCCCTTGACATTTCCACTCGAATCCCTCTTTGTAGCCGTATTAGCGACGCCAACCCTTACGAACCTCGAAATCGTGTCCTGACTCGGATGGACATCCACCAGCGGTAAGCCCTTCTTCTTCCGCGCCTGTATCTCTGCCAACTCCTTTGCCTTCTTTTTCTCTCTCGCAATCCTCGCCTTATTGGCCGATTTCTGCTTGTCGAGTTCCTTGCGGATTCGTTCTTGTTCCTCCAGCTCCAGGCGACGCTGCTCGGCCTTGGAGAGTCTCGGTTGCTTTGTGGCTTGCTTGTACAGCTTCTTTGCTTGTTTGGAGGTCATCGCCTGGGGTTTTGAGGCCGGAGCATTGTCGCGCGAAATCAGGCCTTGCATGCCCAATGGGTTGGGCACCACGGTGAAGGTATTTTGTCGTGGCATTGTGACATTGTTGGGGTCGCCGAAGTGTGTGTCGGATCTCACGGTCCAGTCTTGTGTCGAGGTGAAAGCCGTTGTTGAAAAGATGAGGTGACGAAGGGAGGAAGTTGGATCGACATATGTCGGACCACCCCACTGGCCACAGCGCGTTACAGCGTTGTGTTGGTGGGAGTCGCGGCCTGCTTTGGCGAGTTCCGCGAAAGAGGTGGGAGATCACGTGTGTCAAGTGGGGCCTGGCTTGAAGTACCGCTCGTTGTTCACTCGGCTACTACAGGTGCTCGTAATGGACAAAATAGTTGAGACCTTTGACATGATATCTTGGGTATACTTATACTACGCATCCAAGCGTCTTTGTAACACCTCTTGTCTTAAGTTCTTGGCAACTTCTGAATGAAAACATACAATTAGGACTCTAGCCGATGTCTTTTTGAATTGTTCCAATCCTTATTACAGTCTTGCAACGGCCTTTTTTTTAATCCTGACAAGCGGTAGTGGACTATCTTACCTAGCCTTTGATTGGTCTCACTTATTTTGTCTCCGACGAGAGGTGGTTGCACCAACAATAACCACTAATTCCATGTACCTCTCCCCCGTCCCGTTTTCGTCCCTTTATCATCCCATCCAGGGAACAACTCCATCTTCAATTTCCCAAAGTAAACAAACCAAACCATCACCACCACCACCTCTTTCCCCAGCGTGCTGCTCGACATAGTCGCCGCCGCCGCCGCCGAATTGAAATACCTCCCCCTTCCACCGTGGCCGCCACCGCTACCTTCTATTGCTGCCTCATCTGGTGACCCCCTCGCCATTTGGCGTCAGTACTTACATGTACTCTTGCTCGTCGTTGCCTCGACCTCGACTTTGAACACTCGCTGACCCTCATAGATGTCCCTTATGACCCTCCCTTTACATCTCACAAACCCATCACTGTCCGTTTTCCCTTCGGTGGGCGGGTCGAATTCCACCTTGACCGACGCCTGCGCCTCTTCCTCGCCGCCGTGAACGAGATAAAGCCGGCACCATACCAAGATCCTTAACGCCCCCAACCCGTCCTTCCTCGTCGTCACGAATACCGCGCAGCATTGAAAGTTCCTCGACCCCTGACTCAAGAACAGCTTGCGCTCTCCGTCCCAACTTTCCTCCGGTTGAAACTGACTGTGTTTTGGACGGAAGTTGATCTCGGCCATGGCTCTGAACACCTGCGACAGGTTAAATGCCCACCGATGACTCGTGCCCAACATCGTCGATGCCACAGGCGACACCGTCTTTGTGATATAAAACACCCTACTCTTGCGCAACTGGGGCTGTTGCCCAGGTCCCGTCGGCCACATGGGCAAGCTCTCAGGCATGACGCGACAGTACAGATCCGAGCCATGCTGCTGCAGAAACACGCCGATCGCCATGCCCTTTTCACTTCGGTGATAACACCCCAGGTCAAGGATATACGTCCCCTCGGTCTCCTTAAACCGGGAACTACCGCTCCGCAACCCATCCCCCGACGCCGGCGTAAATCGTAGTCCTTTGCTCGTAATCAGACACTCGGCGTTATACAAGGTGTTTCCCCAATTCACGATATCCCTACACGTCGCGAACTCCTTCGGACTCGGCGCCAATATGCCCCAGTGCTTCTGATGCTGCGTCCCCGACTTTTTGTCCGTCTTCCACGCAAACAAACTAAAATCGTTGGTTTCCTTGACAATCTCCTCCTGCAGCCTGATGAACGCCTTCTCGCCCTCTCCATACAGCAACGGGATTTGCACGTCAAAGATACCCAGTAAACAATACGCCATGTCCTCGGGGCGGGTGGTCACCCGCGACGAAGCCCAGGACATGCGCTGCGCGACGGGTATGGTAGGCAGCAGGGCGCTGTTCTCGAGGACGGACTCGTTGATTTGTGTGATTTCGGCGAGGACATGCTTGAGGGAGGACTTCTCGCCGACGAATTCCCATTTGCTGTTGTAGAACCCCATGCGACTGGGGGCAATGAGCTCTTGTAAGGTCCACCCTCTGGTAAACCAGCGACATGATTTGAATCGAGCGACCTTTTCATCATGGCTTAGGTGGTCCATCCTCCCAGCTTGGGAGTGTGATGATGTCGCTGACCCCGTCCCTGTCCCCGACCCAGTAGTAGCTGCAGATACGTTGCTGCATGAACTTCCCACATTACTCCCCCCGTCTTTCCCCTCCAGCCATCGCCCCCCGTCCTTCCCCTCCCATCCTTTCTCCCCCGAGGCATTCTTCCCTTGTCCATTCCCATTCTGTCCATTCCCATTCCCATTCCCATCCTGCCCATACCCTCCCCCACCCACTCCCAGCCGTGCCCCCTTAGGTTTAGGTTCAGCATGATGCTTGTCCCTAAAAACAGGCTCCAAATCCTCCAACACCGCAAAACAAACCGTCGCCCCCCGATACCACCCCCACATACTATTAATCGCCTCCGTCAGCTCCGCCGAGCTACTCTTGTCGATACAGCACGTATCCACCCACGCCCATTCGATCCCCGATTTTTTCGCGCGATGACATGTTTGTTTGATTTTGGCGTACCCCTTTTCTTTTTTCTTTTCGAGTTCGTGAGGTGGTAACGAAATAAATTCCTGAAAGGTGACTTCGTCGTCGGGCGAAGGGGACCATGTGTGGGAGAGGATGGCGTAGGGAGGGAGAAGGGAGACGGGGAGGAGGAAGGAGGTTAGGGAGAGGGTGGTGGTGTTTATGAGGCGCATTTCCTTTGGATGATTGCTGATGGGATCGGATCGGATCGGAGCGGTTGTTGCTGCAGTGATGAAGAAGACTGGGCGGGAGAAGTTCTGCTCTTGACGGAGCGAGGGGAGGAGTGAGTCCCAAAAGATCGTGGGTCTTTGTGTGTCCTGATGGAAGTGCTTGTTCTCGAAGTTAAGTCATCCAGACACGTAACAGCGGAGAAAAATCAGTCGCCTATCGTCATCACCATCTGGTAACTTCTGGGGTTTCACAACGCGCCATCACGGTTGAAGTTCGAGGCGGCGCCACAACGCAAGATCCTAGCAGTGAGATTTTAGGGCAAAATGGGTAAGTATCACCTCAGCCACCATCCCGGCGCAGTACGGCGCTTATCTTCCCCGTTAGGGCCTAGCTCGGGAACTTCTAAGAGGGCTAAATAAGCTAATGTTTGGCGCATGGTAGGGCGCAGTTGACGATCGATGCGCCACAGTTACTTTGTTTTCGTTGCCCCTTCCTTTCTTTCTTGCAATCCTTTCCTGCTTTGACATCTTCCGTTTTGGTCCCTCGATATCTTCCCTGTGATTTCCTGAGGTGTGAAACTTCCCACCGTACTTGGTCCCTGCATTTGTTTGGATCCTTTTGCTTCCTACACCCATGGCTCTTTCGGTTACAGGATAGAGGTACATAGGTTGTCATTCGGCATGCTGTTTTCTGCTTGTACCAGACAATGAACTTGTTCAAGTTGGATATACCATATTGACAACCATTCGCGTTGGCTGCCATGGTATATCAGCTTGTCAGTTAGTTGCTGATGCCAATCGTCGTTGCTCTGAGTCTGCTCATTTGGTTAGATAGATAAGAACTACTAGACCAAGCCGAAAAAACATTGACATGGAAGCTAGGTCTACGTCGTGTACGTGTGCCCGCAAACCAAGCAAGTGCACTGGAAGGAGGCGTATAAGAAGAGGTTGTCTATGTCCGGATTTCGGTATGATCATTGATGCAGAAAGACGTAGTTCTTGTCACAATCATGACACTTCATGGGGGTATTAGGGCATGCATGGAGGGCTTATACGGGAATAAAACGCAAAGCGCACTTGTTGTCATGGATCTCAGTCACATTTCTTGTTTCACTTCAAACGTCTGTCTTAAGTTTCATATATTATGTACTTTGTATTTGCTTTGTGCTCCAGCCGTGCTTCTCTCGCTTCGTCCTGCTCTTTCTTGTCCAATCTGATGCTCAGCAACCAGCTCTCGTTCTGCTTCTATGCAGCACAACCACGAACGCTCTCACAAGCCCCCCACTACCGCACCAGACCCAGGTCCGAACATACCCGTAGAACCCCAACCCAAGTGGGTTTTCAACGTCTCCGGCACCACCGACGCAAAGAATGCCGGAAAGAAGCTCGCAATCCTTGATGCCGCCTTCCTAGCCCGTCCACTTCTCATCAGCTTCCCAAGTCCAATCATGGACGCCAAACCCGCCAAAGCGCCCACACCAACAGCCATGACCCGGGACTTCCCCTCCTAAGAGAGTCCCTGAGCCCAGCGGCTGGTGGCGTTGACATGAAAGTACGACTTGACGCTCTCGATGGCCCCATCCACCGCGCTCTTCTTGGTTGTAACCGGAGATGGCACCTTTGCAGCATTCCGATTTCGTCCCTCGAACCACGGATGACTAAGCACCTGCTCAATTGTCGCCCTGTCGTTGGGGTGCCATTTGAAAATGGACATGAGTAGATCAAAGAGCTGATCGGCTTCTTCGTTGTCCAGACGCAACTCCATGTACTCATCATCGTCATCTTCATCATCACCGTTCCTTCTTTTCTCGCTATATGGCAATGGCAGTGTGTGCGTCGTATTCTTGCTGTTGTGATCCTGTTGCAAGTGCCACAGCTCATACTGCTTCTTCATATGATCGGCCTCCTCCTGAGTCTGGGACAGATAAATCGTCCTCTGCAGGTTACGTCTGAACACCGCCTCGCCGGGACTCATCACGCGCTCGCCCCTCTGGGCCGTCTTCGCCATCTCAGCAGCCATCTCCCTCTCCCTCTCTTCGAATGGGTTTGTTGGTGGCTTCTCGGTGATGGGCTTCAGCTCCCCCTCGTTGGTCTCGTCGGACTTGGCGACTTGCGGGTTGAAACACCTGAGTTTTGGCTCCTTCTTGTGCTCCTCCTTGTACGCTGCCCTAAACGGGTCTGGCATGGGCCCCATCAGGGACTCCAGCTTGGCTGCATGCGTGTCGCAGTCGTCGCCATCTAGTGGCTGAGCAAAGTGCGTGAAGTCTGCCGCGAGGTAGTTGATGCAGCAACCTAGTGTCCAAATGTCCGACGGAGGGCCGAGGAGTTCCCTCTGGAAGAACCGGTCCTCCGGCGACGCATAGTCCAAGGGAATACCTGTTGACCCTTCCTTGGGCGGGTCGAGAATGGAGTAAGACACGCCATAGTCGGTGATGGCGAACGAAGCAGCGCAGAGACCAGAGTGGAAGCCAATTTCCACGTTGCCGACCAGTTGTTCGGGGACGGAGGGCGCCGAGGCGCGTGTGACGGGCTTTATATCTTCGAGGGAGATGACGCGGCCGGTGTTGGGCTTGTCGCCGTTGTAAAACGCTTTAAAGAGGGCTTCTTCGGGAAGGGAGTCGGCGCCGTCACAGAGACGGAGGAGGATGTTGCAGGGTCGGAAGTCGCCATGACAAAGTCCTTGCGAGTGCATGAAGCGCAGAGATTCAGCGAGCTCAAAGGCCATGTCCTTGATCAGGGCGGTATGGAAGCTGTAGTAGTCGGGAATAGTCTCGAGTGTGCAGTCGTGCCAGGGAAAAACGAGGGCCAAATGCCGGCCGTTGGGGCCGGTCAGCCAGAAATGTTCGATTGGAAGGCAGATGCCAAAGGTGTCGAGGGTGGAACGGTCGACATCGCGGAAATGGTCGAGGATTTTGAGGTCGGGACAGTCGGGGGTAGACTTCTCGGCGGCAATAACTTTGACGACACGCCTTACCCCTCTTGCGTTGAAGGCGTTCAAAGACTGGAGCTTCTCGACGGTTATACCCCTTCTGGGGTAACCGTGCTCGGGTGTCCATACTCTGGTGGTCGGGATTTCAAGCCTGGTATTTTGGTGGTGATCGGTGCCTGCCATTTTGGGTTGTGCTCGCAGATTATTGGTCATGGGTCATGGATATCATGCCAATTGATGTACTCGGGTGTTGGAGGTGAGCGATGTAGTTCATGAGCTGAAGATAAGGTATATATAGTCGACAGAACTAAAAACAGCACAAGCAGACGGGCAGCCACACGAGACGAGTAAAAGTGTCTGACAGCACTGCCACTAGATGTAACGGTCATGTAGTTCGGGGCGTCCTTCCCCGCCCTAAGCTTTCGAGGCCAACGATCCGCTCCTAAAGGGGAGGATGTGCTTGACGAGACGCATCAAAATGTTGAACATGGCCTTGTGGTCCCACACAATATAGATATGGCCTTAGACCACCAACTGATCGAGGCCGAAACCCATATAGATTGTAATATGTGGGTCGTCGTCAGCTACAACGTTTTGATAACAATCACTCTTCGCATTGAACTCGGTTAAGACGGTTCCGTCCTCGTTGTACTGATTTGTCTTCGTGTGAATACCCGATCGGATAATCACACATGTAAAGCCAATATCTTTGGCCTCTTCCCTACGACACAGCTTCTCTACGGCCTGTATATGAAGCTGGAGCTCGTTGATGCTACGGCCTGTAACAACGGTGACTGGATGTGCCAATCGGCTTTCTGTTGCCTTTTCTTTACTCGCCCGGCGTGATCTGGCACGGTCCGGCAGGTGTACTTCTTTGGGCAAAGATGAGCAGGAGAATAGATGGTATTGAGGACTACCTCACTCGGGATCTTGTTGGGGGGAGCAGACGGCTTTGTAGAGGTATTGAATTGGATGCAGGTATATATAGCCCTGGAGCAACAATTTGCAGGGCAAGGCAGCTGAAGCACCCGCTTCCCTTGGACTATATGTGAAGAGGGTACATGATTTTTCCTGGTGATGTATGGTGATGATGATGATGATGGAACGGTAGTTGCCGCGTCGCAGGAGCGATAATCATCCTCCCCCTTGGCCCTTGGCTGATATATTTCCTTTGATTGAGGGGGTCAGTCATCTTCTTGAGATTACCGAACTCTACGGGGTCCCAGATGACATAGATGTGGCCTTGTAGCAAGACTTGGCTCTTGCTGACTCCCATATAGACGGTGAAGTAGGAGTCCGCCTTTTGCTGGGCGTTCCTCCACTGCCCACTTTCAGCATCGTATACTGTGACGGTCCTGCCGTTCTTGTACACATTTCGAGTCTCATGGGCAAGCTGCCTGATGACGACGCAAGTCAGCTTCAGGCGGTCCGCTTCCTCGCGGCAAATCTCTTCCGTAATGGCGATCGGGACGTCGTTATTGACATATCGCCGATCCTTGGTCTGGTTGGGATCGACGATCCAGGAAATCCGGATCTTTCTCTTGGGTACGATACTATTCATGTATCTGTACTTCCGCCTCTCTGTACCCTGATCATTGGTGGTGGATTGAGGTCTCTGGATACTCATCAGTTCCTATATCTGATGTCCTGTGGATGGCCATATGAGGTCGGTTGCTTGTCTGGGCAGTTGTCCAATCTGTGTTTCAGTTATCTGAAGGCAACGGACCACTTTGGAGACACATCTTCATCTGGGTTCCACTTCCTGTTGTAGTTCGACCTGCTTGCTGCTGGCAAAGAGCTGTAAGTAGATGCTCGTTCAAGAGGAATATGAAGATACTTCAGGGCGTTACCTAAGGTACCTCTACTGAAGAGAAGCTCGATCATGTCGGAATGTCGTGGGTGAACGCAATGACATGGAACGGTGTGTATAAGGGAAATAAAGAGGGTTCCCGCCGGCCTGGATGTTGGGGTCGGTAAACTGGGAAAACGGAGCTGTAGCTCGTCGAAGGTCTTGGGCTGATATGTTCCTGAATATGTTGTTGATTACTTCATTGGTTGTATATAAAGACTTCTGCCGTAGTGCATTTCACGTCACACCGCCTTTGCACTTATTGTGATCGGTATAGGTTTCCGTTGAATGAAGGACAGGTGAATTATGACGGGTGTTTAAGGACAAAAGGAACGGTGCCAAAGCCAAGCTCATTTGTACCTTACCTCTATACAAAGTGAAAGGAAGAGATCAAAGCACTCGATGGTATGACGATGAAGGAATGATGCTTTGAAGACCGAAAGGTAGAAGAGGGTATCCGAATACATAACTCTGATGAGATCACATTGGTAGACAACAATCAGGCAATTGGTTCACAGTGGACAAACGACTTTTTGGAAACTTCCAGGTTAATTTCATGCCACTTTACTTTCTCTTTGCCCTTTTGCTCGCGTTGTGCCCTCTTGTCCAAATGGAGCGCCCTAATGTCTGAGACAAGCAGGTTGACAACTTGTCAATAACCCTCTGGTATGCTGATGTTAGACCCCAAACATCTACCTCCCACTTAGTGACCGTTGAACAATCCGGTTTGACAAGCCTTTTTGAAGAATGAAGCGAGTATCCCCACGGTTGTGCCACTTAGCAAATGCCGAAGAAATGAAAAAAAAAAAAAACACCCTGACTCCTAGCTTCACGGTGCTTGATAGTAGCAAAGAAGCGCTCGCTCTCTCGAATGATGCCCAGCGCTCGCTGTCGTTGCTGTGCAGACCGGTGCAAGCTGAGGTCTAAACACTGCTGATCTCACGCAACCAATCCTTGAATGGTATGCGAACCATGAGACATCCGTCGCTTGACGGGTTGGATGTGTTGATTTGTGTCGCTGAAAACCTCTGTTGCTGAGGAAAGCCCGGGATTCGTTGCTCGAGCTAGAGGTGTACTGGTTTGAAGATAGCAAGAGTGTACATGGCGTGGATAGAAGTAAAAAACCGTATAACCGATGGAGAGGCTGAGGAAAGACAAAATAGAGAAGGTGCTCGCTGATGACGACCGAGAAAGAATAGCTGATAGGGACTTTTAGCAAGATTTGGGCGGCAAAGGATCCTTGGTCAAAGACCAGTACTCGTGCGCGACTGGCCTTTCCCCATCTTCAGCACTGACGTGCTTTCTCTGGGTGATAGGGTTGGACATCTTGTCCAAGCCCCCGAACTTCAAGGAGTCCCATACAACATATATATGGCCCTGTAGTGGAAGCTCGCTCCTGCTCCGGCCCATATAGATGGTGAAGTGGGAGTCAGCCTCCCTCTGCATATTTTGGTAGCGCTCAGTCGACGCGTCCCAGACGGTGACTGTCCGTCCATCAACGTAAGGGCGTGTTCGTTCCGGCAGTAGTACAGTAACGGAAGCATCTTTTTGGTGGCAGAAAAGCTTTGGGTTAGGGTTAGAAGAGATGCCTTTACTGCACTACTGCCAGAACGAACACGGCCTAAATGTTCCTGGTCTCGTGCGCCGCCCCCCTGATCACAACAAACTTCAACCCCAATCTATCTGCTTCCTCCCTGCAAATTTCCTCTGTGGTGGCGATTTGTGGGCCGTCGGGTTCATATCGCTCGTCTTGGGTGGGATCTACGATCCAGGTGACGGTGACAGGCTCCTTCGACCTTTCGCTCGTCATCTTCTTGGGCGTTCCCCAGACTTGGACGCCCGTATACCTCTTGCGTCTTCCTGCTGCCTTCTTCTGAACTAGGGCCTCTAGGGAGACTGACTTGAGAGGAAAGTCGTGGACTTGATCGTGAAACTCGGGGTAGGGAGGACGGAAGATTGATGTAGTCATCTTGAATGCTGATGTTGTCTTTATCGATATCGATTATGTCTGATGTTGATTTGCGTGTACAGAGTACTGCAATATTCTGTCGATGGGTGGTGGTAAAAGAAGAAAGGACCGAGTAGCGAGGATCGTGTAGCTTTTATTTCAAGTCCAGAAACATTCTTCGAGGACAAGTGAAGAAGCCGTGGATGCTCAGAGCCTTTGGCTCAAGGTCCAGGTTGCAACTGGTAGGGCAAACCTGGAGTGTCCATGATACCGAAGCATATCATGGCCATCGCGGCTCTCCGCTCTGTCCATATCCATCTGAAGGTTTCGTTAGTGACCATAACCAGACTGCGTAGGTGGAAAGGGAAAAGAACGACGTGTGAATGGACAAGGTTATATATCAGGTTTGCCGGATAGCCTCATGTGGTCAGGCCAACCGTCACTTCACAAGGCCTGCCATGGTGAACTGTGCCTGCACCGCCCCTTTTGAGAGTGAAACTTGACATTACTGCCCACGATCCATTCACCAGCGCAATCTGTGAATTTGGTGTGCAGTTATATAGGTAGCGAACCTGTACTGCGCCGTGTTTCACTCGCGGGTCGTTCTCTTGTCGTTGTTGTGTTGTTTGCTAAAGTGGGCAACCGGAACAAAGAAAGTGCGGCGTGGAACCTGTGTTGACAGACACCAGTGCCTTCCACTTCATTCCACCTTCCCCTCTTCACCTCCCATTCACCACTCTCCACTCCCACGGACATGACCTGCGGCCTCTGAACAGTGAACACCGCTTTTGCGCGACTGCCTTGCAACCATCGGCCCTGAGCGACACGTCATTTGCAATCTTGGACGGCCGCTTCCACGACGGTTAAAAGGACAACCATTCTCCGATCTTTCGCAAGTCTGATTGCTCATTGACATCCTCGTCAATCGCCCATTCGACACCACATCAACCGACCAAAGCACACGACACGCAGACCTTCCATCACCATGTCCTACCTCGGCACTCAAAGATTTCCTTACGAGCTCGAGTTCCCCATCGATGACTCCGATATTGAAGATCCCCGACGCTACCAAGAAGGCGGATTCCACCCAATCGTTCTTGGTGACCGACTCGGCCCTTGCTCCAACGGCCGCTTTCGCGTTGTCAACAAGCTCGGCGCCGGCGGCTACGGCACCGTCTGGCTGTGTCAAGACACCCACCACAAGCCTATCACCGTGACCAAATGGCCGAAGAGGAGGAGATGGAGTTCCAGTGGGAGGCCACCCCTTCTGCGGATTTCCCCCAAATCGGCATCCACTGGGCCGAGAATTGGGCTGGAAAGTGTGGTGGGGATTTGACAATGAATCGTTCTTTTGGGCGGAGGCCGCGGAGAACTCAATTGGATGGGGAAGTGTGGTAGAGATGTGGCCATAGAGGTAGATACCTGTACCTACCTCTAAGTATGAAGAATAATAAAACGCTGACCGTGTGTTGTGAGTGTAGCGTAGAAGTAATGAATATACCTCTATCAACTGTTCCCGCCCGTTTTTCATCGTTCAAAATCAGCTAACATGTTGGCCCATGAAAGTGTGCGTGCGGTAATATTTGTCGTAATGCTCTGTTCGGAGGGATTGGATTTGTGTAATGGCGGACTTGACGCATGAAACTTGCTGGATGTGCGGGTACATGATGAGGGACACTTAATAATTGAGCTAGATTACGGCTATTATTACTTTAGGTACAGTCCCTGCCACAAATAAACGCCCACTTTTTGAAAACCCCGCACTTTCCCCTCTTTTTAACTCTTTATTATTTTTACTATCTTTCTTTCAAATGGCCATAATTCCATCATCTCCCATCAAAAAGGCAAAATTCAAGTATTCAACTCCTCGCCGGAGGAACTAGATTGCGATACAGTATTTAAATAGCGTTAGTGTAGCTACAGTCGCAATTTATAAGGGAGTAATAATAGGGTATATTAAAGGCGTTATGTCACAGGCATTACTGCTATGTTCCTGTATATAAATAGAGGGTGCTATACTATAGTAGTACAGTCAGCTGTACAACTACCTAAGTACAGTACAGCAGTCACGTGCATACGTGCTATAGTCCGTATACTGGATCCACATACAAACGTGCCCTATATAGTTCTCGTACGCGCACAGGATTCTCTTTCTATTCCTCGTACAACAATTAAAATTTTACCTTAATACTTACTTGCGCCCCGTAATACTTTATTATACCTAACCTTCATATTAAAGCGTAATAAGTAATTTTGGTCGAACCAAACTTAGTAGAGGTTAATGCAATAAATTAATTCTCGTGAAATTTACTCTTTAGCGAATCATACAATCGCCAATAGTAAATCGAATATTCTAGTAATATTAATATCGATTTTAACGACCGTAGTATTGATTTTAAAATAGTAAATAAATATTTAGAATAATAAAGGTATAATTATTATATTATACAATATAGTAAAAGAATATTTCTTTTTTTATTTTAATTATTAATAAATTATTAATTTAATTGTTTATTTAAGCAAGATATCTAACAATCAAAATTATAACGGCGACGGTCAAATCGACCTTATCATAGTTTTTCCTTCCTTACTTAAAGGTTTTAACGTATTATTTGCTATCTATAGTAATAATTCTAATATTGGCCTTTAAGTCTTACTTAATTTTATAGTATAAATTAAGAATTATAAAGAAGTTATAAAACTTCTATATTATTTCAATAAAAAGATTAAATTACTCGATAAGAACGTTATTATTAAGTAAGAGAAGTTTAAAGATTACAAATACAATACTAAAGCCTATGTTAAGAAGACCGGTTAAGAAATAGAATAAATGATTAATTGTATTAATAAATTAGAAAAGACTAAGAACTAATTCGTTAATTAATTGAAGGTTCTTTAAAATTAGTATAAATAAATTCTTAAGGATAATACTACTTTGGAGTATAAATTATTAACCGCCGAGAAGGAGAAGGCGATTTATAAGAATAATATAATTAAGATTATTAAAGGTAAAGAAACTAATTATTAAAATATTTTGAATGTACTAAAAACGGCTAATATTATATCTAATAAAGTTAAAAAGGAGTATAATAACGTCCATATTGTAATTAAAATTACGTAGGAAGAATTAATTAAAGTATAAGAAGAGAACGAAACCTTTTGTAAAACTTTTTATTTTACTAAGGAAACTATTTTTATTATTAAGAATAACCTAGCGGAAATTAAAGAGGAAATTAAAAAATAAATTCTAAACTAAAATCGAAGATAATATAGAGGAAATTCTTTATAAAATAGGCGGTATCCTTAGTAATAGCGGCCCTAGAGGATTAAGTATAAATTTCTCTAATATAAGCGGCGGTCTTAATAATAGTAGCCCTAAAAGATTAGGTAAAGGAACTAATTTTAGCTCCGGTAATATAAGTAGTAGTTCTAGCGATAGCGGCCCTGGAGGATCGGGTATAGGTTTCCCTAATATAAATAGTAGTTTTAAAAGTAGAGGATTTTCTAATAGTCTTAAAGGCCCTAATAATAGTAGAGGATTCTCCGGTAGTAATAGAGGATTCCCTAATAAATTTAAAGGTCCTAATAGTAGAGGCCCTAGCGGACTTAAAAGTCCCGGCGGCACCCCTTTCTAAGCTAACCCTTCGGGCAATTACTACCGTAAAACGCTTTATAAAGATTCTAAATATTTTAATAGCAAAGAAATAAATATAATTAAATATTATAATATTTATAACGCTTAGAATTTACCTACTTATAGTTATTAATTAATAAATAAATATAAATTCCCTAATAAATTGTCCAAATTTCTTTATACTATAACCTACCTTAATAGCGAAACTAAAATTAGTATTAACAATTATTATTAATTTATCCTAAATAACCCCTACTATTTAGTCTACTAGAAATCGAAGATAGGCGAAAAGTTCCTAGCCAATTTAAACGAATATTATAAATAGGGAAATTTAATAGCTGTTGTAGAGAAGGAACTACTAAACCTTAAGAAAATTAGAAAATATTCAAATTATAAGGATTTCGAAGCTCGGTTCGTCTCGTTAACGGACTAATACAATTATAATACAATTACTAAAATTCGCTTCCTATACTAGAAAATATTTAAGTTTTTAACTAATTTAGTCTTATACTACTTTATCTAATCCGAACGTAATAATTAGAAGGGATAGTCGACTTTATTCTATAATATTACTAAAGTTTATACTAGAGCGTCGCTCTATAATAATACTATCTAGGTTACTATAAACGGTAGTAATAATAGTAATAATAGCAACGGTAGTAGGAACAGCGGTAGTTATAGTAATAATTATAAATAGAGGGACCCCGACTTTATGGATATCGACTGCGCGAAGTTTATAAAAATCTATAGGGATATTCTTTAGGAGTATTATAATAAAAGTAATTATATAAATTGCAGTAGAAGAAGATATTTAGCTAATGATTATAGAAGTAATACTAATTATAATACTTAAGGTAAATAACCTAACTATCCGGGTTTAAACATTACTATATATTAAAGATCTAGCGCCAGTATACTTATTACTAACTATATAATAGTAAATACAACCAACCCGGCTCTAGCAGCTTTAATAACCCCGGCCCCGGCCCTAACGGCCGCTATAGCCCCTACTTAATAGGGAAATAACGAACCCTAAGGTTAAATCGCCCCCTAGGGGATCTAAGGATATAAAAAGAGAAATAAGGATAGGGATAAAATTCAATATCAATACTATTAATTATTAGAAAATAAAACTATTTAAATTACATAGTTTAAAATTCTATAAATAAAATATAACCCTTCTTTCTACGTACCTTTAATATCCCTAGTATAATAATAAGGTAGAATATATATTATTAGTAAATTCGGAATATTCGGGCAAAGCCTTTATTAACTAATTATTTGTAGAAAGAGTATACCTATAATTTAAAATATTAAAAAAACTGAAACTATTATACCTAGTAAATAGCGTATTTAAAGAATAAATAGATTAATATATTGAAACTACTATACGTATCAATAACTATAAAGAAATTATCTCCTTCTTTATAACCAATTTCGTAGTAAACTACCTGGTTATTTTAGGATAGTTATAGTTGTGAAAGCGTAATCCTACGAGTGATAAACTGCAAGACTAGAAGCTACAAATTAAAGTAATATTAAGTGTAAAGAAGGAAAAGGAAGCGGTACGAACGAAGGCATTCGGAATTAGACATATAAGTCTGGATTCTGCTAACGGTCGCCGCCTTCCCGATCCGGGTTGCTATCGATAAAAATATAAGCCTCATTCCATCCGATATACTAATGGTGCCCAGTAGCTAGTACTCTGGGAGCCTGTCCGAGCATGCTATAATAATAGTTATAATTCTATAATCTAAATATTAATTGGGTAGCTAATAAAATTATTTAAAACGTCGAATATATAAGGATGTATATTAACTAACCTTTAAAAATAGCGGTACTCCTAAAAGAAACTTAGGAAATAGAAGAATCTAAGGACAAATACTATAACTCCGAAAACAAATCCGAAAATAAATTCGAGGAGGACTTCCCTAATTAAATAGCCAATATTACAAAAGCCCCTAAAGGAAACTAAGCTATAATAATGAAATCCCTATCCCCCCTAACTTACGTAAATAAATTCAAAAAACTTTTCAATCCAAAAAGGAAGTTCATATTAAAGAAAGTAAAAGTATAAATTAGAATTATCAGTAAGTAGAGAGTTTCAATAATACCCTGACTAGAAAGAGTTAAATATATAATATTCTAACTTTTTATACCTATAATCAATATATCGGCACTAGACCTTTTAAACTTCAAAATTATTAACGTAAGAATATTTTTACTTAATATAAAATTGAGAGGAGTATAAATTAGTTCTCTTATATAAGTAGAATTCTAGAAAATATAGAAAGAAAAGAAGGAAGCTATCTTAATACTAACCCTATCGGAAAATGCTTTGAAGGATATTATATAAAGTAGGAGCGAGCTCTATAAATACTACTTTAAGGATATTAGAATTTATAAATTTATTAATTTATATAAAAAGGAAACTACGGGCGAAGGCCATAGTAAGTAGTCTCTCCAACCTAGTAAAGTAATTAGGAACTTTATAAACCGTATTTATAAATTGGGACTAAGGAATAAAGATTAGGAAAGCCTTCCGGATATAATATAGTCTATACCTTTGATTAAAATCGATAGAATTTATAGTACTATAAAAGAGGATATATAGAAATTTATAGAAAAATCTACCAAATTGAAATATACCTTAGAGTAAGTAAAAGCTCGGTTCCCTAATAAATATAAGGACTTCTCTTATATTACTAATCCTATAGATGCCGAAGTAATCCCCTAATACTGGTTGTATAATTATAAAATCGAATTAAAGCCGGGAATAGAAGTTTTACTATACTTAAGAGCAAGGCCAATATCGCCTTAAGAATTAAAAATTATTAAATAATAACTAGATAATAATTTAGTAAAAATATTTATCCAATTATTAATTTTAAACGTTACTTCCCTAATATTATTAGTAAGAAAGCTAGAGGGTAGCGTAAGAATCTATATTAATTATAGAGGGATTAATAATATTTGCGTAAAAAATAGATACCCGTTACTATTAATTAAAAAAACGTTGGACGCAATTTATAAAGTAAAATAATTTACAAAGGTCAATATAATTACAGCTTTCAACAGGCTACATATAGCTAAGGGCTATAAATAACTAATAGTATTTATTATACAATTTAGGCTATATAAATCGTTAGTCTACGTATTCGGGCTCTTAGGGACGCTGATATTATTCTAGAACTTTATTAATAATATATTATACAATATTCTTAATATTTATACAACGGCTTACTTTACTAATGTATTTATTTTCTTAAAAACCTATAAAGACTACATTTATTATAGGGCTAGTGCCCGGATTATAGACTCTAGTCTCTAAGACCAGAGCTATCATTAGCCAGAGTACCTTTTAGCGCCGGTAGATCCGTATTTTAAATAGACTTTTCCTCCTTTATAGAACCTTAATTAAACTATACAACTAGTACCTGTATTAATTGTACTATCCCTATTATATTAGGTTCTATTAACCAATAGAACTAATAGATTAAAATATATTGCTACTATAATAGTAAGGGTAGTAGTACGCTATATTAAATATAGAAGAAGAAGTATCGTAATAGGTAGAAGCTTAATAAATAAAGAGGGATAATGTTATTAGAAGTATTTTTATAAATATAGTATTTACTAATACCGTTAGAACTATTATTAGTACGCCGCCTACTACTTAAGGAGTCTAGGGCAACCCTTAAGCGCCCGCTTAAGCGACTACTTATATAACTATTATTACCCTTAATATTATAAGCGGTACTATTTAAAAAACTATTCCTATTACTATTCCTAGTACTAAATGTAAAAATATTTAGTAGCCGAAATAGGATGGATTTACTTCGATTTTCTTCTTATTCCTTATATAATTATACTTTATATATAAAGAAGAGAAAGTAACTAGAACGATCTCCAACAATAAATTAGAATAATTAATACTATTCGATATACTTCCTAGTAATAAAATAACTAAAGTAGAAATTTTTTAGCATTAAGGATATATTAACGATTTCTATTGCCTTATTAATTAATTTAATTATTTAAAGTTAGTTTTCGGTAGTAAAAATAAGAAGTAGTTCGTATTAATTCGCTTACAAACTATTTACTAATGTAAAAACTAGAGTTTCACTAATTTTTTCCTAATTTTTAAAATTTCTTTAATAAAAGTAAAAGGCTTTATATGGGAAAACGAATCCTAATTCGCTTGATTGGATACTTCTATATCCAATACTCTATATAATTAATTAATTTCGGTCCAAATATTCAAAATATATAATAAATATAGAAAAGATTTAAAAGACATTACTTGGTAGTTTGAAGCGAATTAAGCCTTTTATAAAATTAGTAAGAGTAGTAAGGGAGCCGTTAGCCGCCGCTAAAAGTCTTTCCCCCGACGAGAATAAATTATAAACCTACCCTCGAAGGATATTAATAGTAATATATATATAACAATAAGTGCTACTAAGACTAAAAGTAAAAATTATAATAAAAATACTAAGTATACTAAATAAGTCTCCTAAGAAGAATATAATAAACGGCGCTTAGCTGGGCTTTACTTATATTATAAGAATAATAAGTATATAGTTAGGATTATATATATAGACCGGCCTAGCGTTTTAATAGTATTAGTATAAAAATTACTAAAATCAAGTCTTAGATCGAACTATTATTAAAAAATATAAACAACTCGTCCTCAGAAGGGTTAGAAAAAGAGTAACTCCTATATAAAGCTAGGTATAGAAGTAAATAGGAGTATTAAGTAAGGAGGCGGGAATTTTGAACTTCCTAGGTCCTATAGAAATAAATATTACTAAGATCTTTATTACTATTAATAATAAAGATCGATTTTATACTTTTATTAATAAAAGTTATTAATATTATATTATTATTAGTAAAAGAGTTATTAAGAAGTTAAAGATTCTGGTAATTCTAATTCTTAGGAGATAAGTTAGAGGCGCTTCTATTGAAATAAAAGGTATAGAAACTAAAAGTATTATTTATTTTAGGGTAAATACTTATAATAACAAATTAATTATTTATATTTATATAGTTCCTAAACTAAAGTTCCTTATAATATTAGAAAAATCATAATTAATTACTATAAAAGCCTATTTGGTTCTATATAAGTATAGATTCTAGTACGGGGTAGCTAGGTATTAAATTCCGTATTTAGAATATACGCTTAAGAAATCTTTTCTTTGCGCTATAGAGATTAGAGAAGTTATTTATTACTTAACTACGATTTTTATAATTATACTAAATAGGGTTAAAAAAAAGAATAGTAGAGAAGTTGCGGAAGTAGTAATATTCGCTATTAATTTATAAAATATTAAGAAGGTTTTTAAACCTAAGGTTAATATAATTAATAAGGAACTAAAGAAGAGAATCTTTATTATTACATACGATTTACTTTATATATAGAGGTAATTAGAAGTAGATAAAATTAACCTATATTACCCTAATATTAACTATAAAATAAAAATTAAGAAGGATGAGAATAGTAGGGAAATACTATTCCTTGATAATTTACTTTATAGTATATTCCGAAAAGAGTTTTTAATATTAAAGAAGACGTTTAGAAACTTCTTTAATAAGGGGTTTATCCATATTAATAATTCTTTAGCTATAATACCCGTCCTCTTTATTTAGAAGTTAGGCGGTAATTTATAGTTCTATTACAATTACCGGGCTTTAAATACTATTACAAAAGCCGACCGTTACCTTCTACCCTTAATAAAAGAAATCCTCTATATTATAATTAAAATAAAATAATTTATTAAAATAAATATAGTACAAGCGTTCTACAAAGTTTATATAGCTGAGGGAGAGGAAGGGAAAATAGCCTTCCGTATATAATATAGCCTTTTTAAATAGTCTATAATACTATTTAGGTTATTAAAAGCTCTAATAACCTTCTAATAGTATATTAATAGTATTTTTGGTAATTATTTTAATAATTTCGTTTTAATTTATATAAATAACGTATTAATTTTCTTATTTAGGTCGAAGAAAGACTATTTAATAAAAGTTTATAAAGTAGTAGAATGGTTAGCTATAATTAAATTCCATTTAAATCTTAAGAAGTATAAATCTCTTATTAAAAGTATAAAATACTTTAGTTTTATTATTATTATAAGTATAGGTATTTAGGCGGACACCGAAAAAATTAAAGCGATTATAGATTAAGTAGCCCTAATATTATAGAAAAGAATAAAGAGCTTCTTTAGTTTTACTAATTATTATTATATATTTATTAAAGATTTCTCCTCTGTAGTAAGACTATTAATTATATTTATAAAGAAGGTAGTCCCCTTCAAATAAATTACTAAGTATAATTTAGTATTTTAATAGTTAAAAACGCTTTTTATAGAAGCCTTTATCCTTATATAGTAGGATTCCGATCTATTTATATTCCTAAAGGCTAATTATAATAGTTATAGGTTCGGCGGTATCCTTATATAGGAGAGGGATAGTAAGAAGACTATAATTGTATACTATTCAGGGAAGTTTACCCTTATAGAATATAATTACTTAATTTATAATTAGAAAATATTAATAATTATATAATATTTAAAGGAATAATTAATAGAATTTAAAAGTTATAAGAAATTTACTATTATTACTAATTATGAGAATTTTAAAAACTTTATAGAGAGGTAGAAGCTCTCTAAGCGCTAAGCGTATTAGGTTAAACTTTTTTAAAAATTTAATTTTAAAATCTAATACTATTTAAGTAAATTTATTATAGTATTTAATACCCTATTTTAGCGGGATTAGAATAAATTTAACGAAGAGAACGTAGAGGCAAAGGAGAAATAGTTAATCCTTTAAGAGGCTTTTAAGAATTATATTCGTATAGTAGCCTCTTTAGTAATTATAGGGGAGGGTATAAAGGTATTTAAAAATCTAAATTTATAATAATTTTATAAGAAAGTTGCTTAGTAGGATATAATTTACTAAAACGTCCTCTAAGTAATTACTAATAGTAACCGAAGCCTTTCTGTTGTAGTTTAAGGTTTAAAAATATAATTAGGAGAATATCTAATTAATAGTTTAGGGAAATTGTATTATTAAGGCTACATTTAAATTCCTAGAGCTTTAGCTATTATAAAAGTAGTTGCCCTCTATATATTTTTAGAAGATTTAAAAAAGAATATTCTACGTATATACGTTATTTAAGGGATATACGATTTAGTTGCCCTCGGTTACCCTAGGAGAGAAGGAATAATATATACTATTAATAGAGACTTTTACTAGCTACTAATAAATACTTATATTTATTAATTTATAGGGAATTATAATACTTATAGGAGGGTTAAATATTAGAGAAAATAGAAGAGAGGACTATGTAGGCCGCTATTAATCCCGGATTAATTCTTTAGAAATATTTAAATAGATTTTATTATTAACTTCCTATCTTTAAGGGGTTATATAAACCTCTTAATTATTAAAGACCGGTTTAGTAAAGTAATAATTTTAAAGCCTATATTTATTATAGAAGTAGAAGCGGTCGTTAAAATTTTTCTATAATATTTTATATATTACTACGGCTAACTCCGGTCTATTATTAGTAATAGAGGTCCTAATTAAATTAATAGCTTTTAGAAATACTTTTATAACGTCCTTAGAGTAGAATACTAATTAAATATAACCTTCTATCCCTAAACCGATAGCGGGTTAGAGTATATAAATTAAGAAGTATAAATATTTTTAAAAATCTTTGTAAATTACACGTAGAATAACTAAAGCCGTTAGTACCCTACTATATAATTAGTAATTAATAGTAGAATTATTATTGTAATGAAAATATTTCTATTTTTTACTACCTATAACTATTACCCGTAGTCCCCTATAACCGTTATAACCCAATTAGTAAAAGCCGAATTTATTAACTTATAGAAGAAAATTAAAGGCTTTATTATACAATTACAATAAATTATAAATCTTTATTAAGCAATAATAGTTATTTTAATATAAGATTAAAAGTACTTTATAAATTGTAAGAAATAATTGGCCGAAGTCTTTAAAGAAGGAAATAAAGTATAA